GTGCAAGAGCTCTTAGATCACTCAGAGCCTGAGCACCTCACCTAAGGATTCACTGAGAGCCAGCCTCATGCACCATGTCCCACAGTGAACCCCAGCTCCGTCATGAGCCCAGCAGGCTCCAGCCAGGCAGAGGAACAACAATACCTGGACAAGCTGAAGCAACTTTCCAAGTATATTGAGCCCCTGCGCCGGATGATCAACAAGATTGACAAGAATGAAGGTGGGGCCAGAGGCCAGGGCTGGGTGCAGGGGCCCCACAGACACTCAGAGCCTGTATCTTAGTGTCCTCTCTCTGTCCCAGACAGGAAAAAGGACCTGAGTAAGATGAAGAGCCTTCTGGACATTCTGACTGACCCCTCTAAGAGGTGAGCTTTGCAGAGGGTTCTGGGGCGGAATAGTGCTATACCACAGCTTGTGGAGGGCTCCCAGGGCTTGTGATGACCTGGGTTTAGCAAAGTGGTCCAGCAGGTCTTTGGGCCCTGCCAGAGGCCTCTGAGGCTCCATGTAGGTATGTATTGGGGCTTCAATCCCAGACTTCACCTCCAGCACCCAGCCTTTGCACTACTCCACAGCCACTGCTGTGGAGCTCATGCTTCTATCCTTTGGCCACCATAGTTTGTCTCCTCAGGTCCTGGTTTACAGTGGCCTCACCACGTCTACCTGAGGCTAATCTTTAGCTCTGCCCAACTTTTCAGTAATCTTTGGCTAGCAGCTATGTCTCAGTCACCTTGTCTGCTGCAGGGCTAGCAGCAGCCATGTGGCTCATTGTGGAAATGAAGCTATAGGTGATGCCTATGAGAAATATGTGGGTAGCCATGGCTTGCCGTCTTCTCATCCCTTTTCCCTTCCTGCTGGCCATGGGCTGCTACGAGCACCTGAGCTGGGACAGCACTGCAAAACTGTGCACATTGTTTCTCTCCTATCTCACTGCCTCAGCTCAAGCTGTTGCTTGCTTTCTAGAAGTTTCTCTTAATTCTGCTTATCTGTGTTGAATGGTAATCACTGTTCCACAGCCCTCCAGGTCTTCTTGGGTTAATTATTCATTGGGGTTTTAGGGCCAAGGGGGACAGGGACTGGCCTAGATAAGACTGAGGCCTTAGCCTGGTTTGGGAGCAGCTGGCTACTAGCTGGGGTTTCCATGGAGGTTTCCAATGACTAAAGCCTAGAGAGGCCAGGCAGGCAATGGTTGGGGTCAGCACCCAAGAGTCACTGATTCCCCAAGCCCTCTTGCACAGAAACCAGCCTGCATTCTCTCTCTCCTCAGGTGTCCCTTGAAGACCCTGCAGAAGTGTGAGATCGCCCTGGAAAAACTCAAGAATGACATGGCGGTGGTGAGTGGAGTCTCAGGCACCTCTAGGGAAGTCAAGGCTTACCTCACAGCATCTCAGAAGATGTATGGGAGGAGCATTCATGGTCAAGGGCAATCAGGGCTTGGGTCTAGGCCTAACCTGGGAACTCTGCCCACAAGGCTTCTTTCAGGCCCAATTGCTGTGGAGAGTGGGAACACAAAGTCACCTTCTGACCTTGGTCCCAAGGGTGCCTCTGCCACCCTGCATCTGCCAGCCCAGCACAAGGTGCTGCCCTTAGACAGTAAAGCCTGAGCAGGGCTGCCAGGGTGGGGGACTGTATCCAGTTATTGGCCACCACTGGCTACACAGGGGTGGAGGTTATGGGTGAATCCTCAGGATTCTGTGATGGGTGAGGATGATGGCCTTGGGATCTGGAAGTCCTCTTCACAATGGGTGAGGCCTCAAGCTCAAGCTGCTGACTCTGTCTGTCTTATCCCTAGCCCACGCCCCCACCACCCCCAGTGCTACCAACAAAGCAGCAGGATCTATGCCAACCACTCCTGGATGCTGTCCTGGCCAACATCCGCTCTCCCGTTTTCAACCATTCCCTGTACCGCACATTCGTTCCAGCCATGACAGCCATCCATGGCCCACCTATTACGTATGTACAACCAGGGCTGGGCCTTGTGGTGGGTTGCAGGCCAAAGGCTGCATGTAACCAGCGTGGTCACCATGGCCACCTCCTCCAGGGCCCCGGTGGTGTGTACCCGGAAGCGCAGGTTTGAGGAGGATGATCGGCAGAGCATCCCCAACGTCCTCCAAGGGGAGGTGGCCAGATTAGATCCCAAGTTCCTGGTGAACTTGGACCCTTCTCACTGCAGTAACAACGGCACCGTCCACCTGATATGCAAGCTTGGTGAGTGTCCGGGTAGGATAGGGGTGACTTGGGAGAGTGAATCCTAACCTGGAAGCCCCAGGACTCTACTGCCTACACCAGAGACCATGAAATGCTCAGCCTTCAAGACACAAGTACTTCCCTTCTCTGAGCCTGCCCCTGCACTCATCCTACCAAGCTGCCCACTCTGTCCTCACTCCTCCTCCTTCCTGTTGGCCTAGCCTCAACCTCCCAGGCCTGAGCCCATGTACTCTCACCTCTTCCCCATACACAGTGGCTCTGCTTGCTAGAAACACTGGATTTACTGTGAGCAGGGTCCGTTCAGGAGCAGGGCTTTGAGGCCAGTGTTTGTGTCAGGTCCAGGCTTGGGCCAGGTCACAGGCAGCCTTGTGTGTTGCAGACGACAAGGACCTCCCAAGTGTGCCACCACTGGAGCTCAGTGTGCCTGCTGACTACCCTGCCCAGAGCCCACTGTGGATTGACCGGCAGTGGCAATATGGTGGGTGAACCAAGAGGAAACATTTGGGAACCCAGGAAAGGCAAGGGTCAGTTCTGGGCAAACAGGGTTTCCTGTGTAGCAGGATTACCTGTGTATCCCTCCTGTTTCCCCTTGCACAGGGAGGAACAGTGGTCACCTGGAGGAAGAAGAGACTCTCTACCTCCTCCCCCATTGTGTCCTTTGCCCCTATCTTACAGCTCCAGGGCAGCTATGTTTAGTCAGGGAGGGGTAAACAAGCCTACTGCTCAAGGATAGACCCAGTTGATCCTGATGGCCCCTAGAGCTCAGCAGGGCTTACATGGGCCCACCACCAGGAGCTTGGGTGCATGTGGATCTATATGGGTGATGTGACTCCAGAGAGACTATGTTGGGTATAGGCAGTCCCCTTAGGGTGTCATAGAGGGAAAGCCTATGGGTCCAGATCCCATTGAGATTCCAGTTTTTCACTGACATTGTTGCTCTGGGAGGAGAGCCCTACTTCCAGACGAGCACAGGAGACTGATTAGGGGTTGGGGGGCTTCCCAGAGAGGTGTCCATATGGGCCAGGTTCAGACATGTCTGACTGCTTTGAGAGGGTTTGGTGTTCATGGCCTGCTGCTCTGTTGCAGATGCCAACCCCTTTCTGCAGTCAGTGCACCGGTGCATGACCTCCCGGCTGCTGCAGCTTCCTGACAAGCATTCAGTCACAGCCTTGCTCAACACCTGGGTACAGAGCATCCACCAGGCCTGCCTTTCAGCCTCCTAGCCAAGAACTGCGGGGACAGCCAGAAGCCTTGATGGGGCTGTGGACTCATGCCTCATATTGGATGTTTCTAGGTGTTGACTTCCTTAAAAAGCCTGGGATAGGTTAGCTTTCCTGCTTTTCTCTTCTGCCTTGGGACCTGCCAGACATTTCCCCATACTTGTACAGTACTGGGCCAGTTGGCTGTGGAGCTGTCTGCATGGGGGACACTTTCTAGAGAAGATTCTCCTCACACTTTCCTCCAGGGAATCAGATCCCACACTCCTTGGACTGCACTTCCTGTGATCTCTCCAGGCTCCGTGTCCACTCTGAGCAGCATGAGGGAGAACTCAGGGTCTTGTCCATGCATCTGGTTAGAATACGTTTTACTCATTTCTATAGGAGAATGTGGAGGACATAGGAAAACCTTAAAGTACAATCTCTGATCGGTTTGGATTCAGGCTGTGTCACTTGTGGCAGTTGGGTCATATCACAGGGACACTCCTGGATTAAGGGCACAGGCTCCATTTTTGAGAGAAGTTTATCCTGTGGGCAGCAGTGAGTTCCCTACCACCAGCTAGGTGGGTTCTGCTCACACTTTTTGAAGCTCTTACTCAGCACTGTGAGGGAGCAGTGGCATCTGAGGAGCCTGTCCCTGGTACCCGTGTGCTGCTCTTGGGTGAAGGATGCCATGTCCCTGCTGTGAGGGATGAAAAGGGACCATTTGGGCATTGTCCTGAGGACCTGGCATCATCAGAGTACCCTATTCTCTGTGCTGCCCCCAGAGTGGAGGCTCCTTGTGGGATGCAGCTGTACATTGCCTCCGTGTGTTGCCTTTCACACTGAGCACCAGCTGGCAGCCCTCTGGTGATAATAATTTCCCCTTTTTATATGTGCACTACCCTGTCATATGTGGTTCTTATAATAAATTTATCATTCCCGTGTTTCTCATGAGTTAATCACTGCATCCTCTTCTCTGTGAAGCTGGGGCCCATTGTTCTGTTAGGGATGCTGTCAGTCTTGCAGGTGGACAGTGTCCAGTCTAGCCCAGGATGCTCCAGATCTTAGCTCCTGATACAGTACACTATTCCTCAGTCTGGTTCATGCCCAGATTCCTCGTCAAGGTCCTTCTGAGATTAGTGGCCAGGAAATGGAGCACGGTGGCAGAGAGCCTGTAGGATGGCACTAGGCCCTGAACTGACCGCCACAAGGTGATATGTGCAGCTGCTATTCTGATGAGGGGAGGTATGGCATTCTGGAGGAGAAAATTCTCCCGAGACGTGGCCCGTCCAAGACAGCTCAGCTGGACCAATCAGTAGTGTTGGTGTAGCAAATGACAGCATCTTGCCCCTAGCAGTGTCCAGTCTGGGCAGGAGACCCAGAATAATCATCGCTTGGAAAGGCAGCCCCTGGCCAAGACAAGGGAGGGGAAAACCATCTGGCCTCCAGGGAGATGCTTCTTTTCTGGGAGAGTTGCCAACTCATGGGATGAGCAAGCCCTGGCTGCCCAGGCAGGTCCCTTCCAAACTAGCAGAGAGTTACTTCAAATGGCCAGGAGAAAACAACTGATAGCCAGTGAGGAAGGAGACTTAGGACTTGGAGAAACAAGTTTTATTTTCAGTCTTCAACAGGTAGCATAATATTTATTTCATAATTTGGTTTTGTTTTAATGCAGAATAGCAAAATAATAGCTAGAAAATAAACAGTTTCTCAATTCTGAGATCAAGTACTTTATCTGTCATGGGTTTCCCCAGTCTTGGAATACATCGTGGCTTAAAAGTAGTAGAAAGCATATGAACTGCTGCACAGAGAGCTAGCCTCCAGCTGTGGGCACTGGGCTCAGAGAACTGAGCGGTGCAGGCGCCGGCTTTGCACCACCTGCAGCCTTTTCTGCCGCTCCGCAAAATTACTCTTAAGGCTCTGTTTAAGTGCGGGCAGGATACCACGCTCTGCTGCAGGCATTGGGCTCAGAATCAAGCTGGGAATGGGGAAAGGGGCAGTCACTGTAAGCATCTTCAAGCCCTTTGGGCCCCTGGGGTAGAAGCTGGACTGAGAGCTGGCAGCCCTGCCTGAGACCAGCCCTCTTCCCTGTGGCCATCAGACTATTACCCACTCTCCTGTGCCAGGAAACTCACCATTTCTTTGAGAGGCCCTTGGTCGAGACCTTGGGGAACTGAGTGGCCTCCTGGTCCCTGGGGAAGGAAGTCAGCAGTGAGCCCCACACTAGGTCCCACTGGTGGCTGGGGCAGTGGCACAGGGGCACTCACTTTATAGAGCCAGGCCCAGCCTCCTCAGGGGCAGCTTTTGGCCTTTGGTTCCCTTCCAGAAGGGACTTGAGATGCTGCAGCTGAAAGAGAAGAGAGGCATGGTGGGGTACAAGGTAGGGCCTGTAGAGGTGCCAGGCCATGCCCTGCCCAGGCCTCACCTCTTGTGCCTGTAGGAGGTTGGCGTTCCACAGCTGCCGGATGACTACCTCGCACTGCTGTACTGTAGTGGGCTTGCGCAGGTGTGGAGGCAGGCTCATCAAGGGAGCTGCTCCTGTCACCTGCCTGCCCTTGTGCTGGGTGACCCCCACAAAGGTGGCCCCTGAATTAGAGTTCTCCGCATCCTCGTCTCTGAAATGTCATAACAGCAGCCCAGAGGTGGCCTAAGGAATTGATCTTACCACCCTTCCCACAGCAGTGTCCATGCCAGTGTGGGCCCATGAGGGGAAAAGGGCCATCTACATATCTTATGCTGGGCCTGGCTCCCTTCTGCTGACCAAGGTTCTTTGGGAACCAGGTGTGTTCTTTGGAACCAGCCACCTGGACCTGTCCCTTCCCCTTCAAGGTACACTGAGGATAGGTATTCCGGGAAGTGGGGACCAGCTAACTGGGTCCTAACCTCATGGCCAGCAGGTCTTCTCACTGCAGGCTGGTCTCTAGGGAATGTTAGGTCTGTTCAGAGAAGTGGGATCCTGTCCAACTAACTACACTATTCCAGATCATGTACTCTAGCATTCCAGGGAGGTCCAAGAAACAGTGGTCACCAGATTTTAGTTCTGCTGTGCCTTGCTGGCCCAGTGCTTTCCAAAGGCAGGCACCCAACTCCAAGATAATCAGTCAGGCCCACTCACTGTGCTCTGTGGTGTGGATTTGTTTTTGGGGTTTTTGTGTGTGTGTGGTTTGTGTGTGTGTGTGTGTGTGTGTTTTGTTTGGTTGGTTGGTTGGTTGGTTTTGTTTTTGTTTTTGTTTTTTGATACCTGAAATTAAATTCCAGGATGTTTAACCACTAAGCCACATCCCCCAACCCTTTTTAATTTTTACTTTGAGACAGGGCCTCACTAAGTTGCTGAGGCTGCCTTGAATTTACAATCCTCCTGCCTCATTCTCCTTGGTCACTGGAATTACAGGTGTACACCACACCAGGCTTACTGTGTTCTTGGTAAAAAACTAATTTGGAAATCAGATCGGTTTTTTTCTTTTCTCTGAGAAAGGTTTAGGAGCTGCAACTGGTTCTCTTGGGGGCCCTTGTCAGCACAGGGACCCTCCAGGACCCCCAGGGAAGAGGAAGAAGGCAGCACCCAACAGACAGCCTGGTGGCTGACTTCATGAGCCAATGGAGAAGTGGGTGAAGAAATCTGCTGTTCCCAGGGTGGGAACCTACTAAGTGCAAGCCTAGGGCCTTTGGGTTGCAGGCCTGTGCCTTGATGCAGGTGAGCCTTACTTGGCCTGCCCCTGCACCCCAGGGACTCTGTCCAGCTTGCTGCTGTGAAATAGGGCAGCACTGAATGGCTCCTCTTCCAGGTCCATCTTCTGGGGGGCATCAGCTTTCGACTCTTGCCTCTTGGAGCTGGGCTGGGGCCTTGCCTTGCTTTGAGAGTTGGCTGCAGGTCAGACCCGACAGGGCCAGTCACTGCCCAAGTCCTCTGGGATCAGCTGCTTGCACCCAAGAAGCCCCTGCCCCTGCCCCGGTTTCCTCTGTAAATAGGAGATGGAAAGAGCCTCCCTTGGAAGGTCTGATGGGAGGAATAAATTGGGGTTCTGAGGGTAAAGTCTATGAGTCGTGCCTGCTGAACACGCCGGAACAATCAGGTGGAAGCTGGCTTCCATTTGGAGTGAAATAGAACTGGGGGAGAGCACTGGAGCTCTGCATGGGTTTATTCTCTAGGCCCAAGCCCAGGCCCATTGCCCACTGGTAAGGAAGCTTGGCCTCTTGTGGCAGTCAGAATGGGAGAAGAAGCTCTCTGCTCCCTTCATTCCTCAAAAGATGTTATAAGGCAAGGGCTCTGTGGGCAGGATCATCCCACCTGCATCTTGCCTATCTGGGCATAACAGGTCAACGGGCCTTCTGCTGGACAGTCTGTGCACATCCTCCCAGGGAGACCACTGGGGGCCTTGGCAGGCACTTAGGAGTCCCCTCTATCAGTGAGTCCAACTGATCACACTCCTGCCCAGGTGGAGCTGCCATAGTATCTTGCTGCCCTGCAACAATATCCCAACCCTGTCCTGTTTGGTAGCCTTCCTTCAAGGCCTCCCTCTGGGCCACGGACTTATCCCACTCTCCTCAGTCTCCTGTGACTTCAGCTCTCAGAGTACCAGGGACTGCCCTTCTTGGCTCCCTTTAACTAACCCTTCTCCCCTGAATCCATGGGGTCTTCCCAAAGTCTGCCCAACATAAGACCACTATGGGCTTACAGCTCCCTGGTCAGCACCCATACTGGCCACCCCAGCCTTGGGCCCAGTAGGGCCCTTGCTCAGAGTACATAGGGGGTCCTGGCCCACTCACCTGACACTGTTGAATTGGAGATGGACTTGTTGGACTGAAAGCTTGATGTGGACATGCTGCCTGTAAGAGAGAACATGCAAGGTTCAACCCAACATGAGAGTAGCTACCACCCAAGAGCCCACGTGTCCCAACCTCCTGGCCTTCGCAGGCCTCAGTCCTAAATGTTTGTGGGGACTCCTCCCCAAACCTGGTGGGGATGTGTCCTGCCTGTTCTACCCAACACTCCCTTGAGGCAGCCCCATACCCAGCCAAGTTCCCAGAGGAACAGAGGCCACTGGAAAAGTTGTCTCCTGAGGGGTATTCATAAAGCAAGGAAGTTGTGACTTAAAGAACATCAAGTCCTGAGTGAGAGCATAACCTCTCCTGGTGTCTCATTAGGGCCTCCAGTCCTGCAGGGCTAGAGCTACTAACTTGGGCTACACTTTGCCCAGAACAGCTTGCTAGGGCTGCTCCAGAGGTTATCTGCAGATAAACCAGAGGGTTGTTCCTCCACTCTATTTTCTGCATGTCTTCAGGAAGGGAGAGCCCTGGGCACCACCTGAGATAGGATGTTCCCAAATGGCACCATTTGCCAGTCAGACCACCTGATGTTCTAAAGGTAAGGAGAAGAATGAACCCAAGAACTCAATAGGGGTACCCCTGGGCTGGGCTAGGGAATAAGCAAGGAGAATGGGCCATAACAGGGACAAGAAAGTGTCTTGGACAAGTGCTGCAGGCTGAGTCTCTGCTTCTTTCCCCACTCATTCCCATGGTGTCTACAGAGATGATGGCAGGAAAGATTTCTCATAGGGAGTATACCCAGAGTCACCTCTTCCAAGGTTTAAGGGACCAGAGACAGGGCTGAGAAGCCAGAGGGTAGTGAAGCCCTGGAGGAAAGGGGCTGTTCCAGGGCCCCCACCTGATTCAGGAGCTCTGCTCAGATGAGGAAGGGTCTGCAGCCCCATCTGCTCAGATCTCAGGCCTTGAGACTGAACACCTGCTGCACTGCATAAAGTTACCCAGCTGTGGGGGAAGTGGCATCTATTTAGTTCCCCCAGAACCAGTTCCCACTGAGTTAGCATGCCAGATGGACATGAGCAATCTGGGGATGGGGGCTGCAGTAGACAGAGGTAACTTCCTATCAGGCACTAAGGGGCCTCAGCCTTACCTTTCTTCTGTGGCTTCTGATTCATTATTAGCTTGTAGTGGAGATCTGGAAGCAAGCACATGTTCTCCTTGTCATTTTCAAAGCCATAGCTTCTCTGAAAGAAGAAGCTTGGCTTGGCCTGCCCTGCCTACTCCCTCCTAGTCCCCAAGAGTCCTGGCTTGTGATCATGGCTGACTGGCTCTTGCTTGTAGTTCCTGCCAGCCTTTTCTACCAAGTCTTTGCCCTAGGCCAGAAATGCCTCTGGCTGTTCTCTTTCATCTCCCACCATGTCCCTAATGTCTGCAGGGCACACTGCCAGCCAAGGCCTTGGCTCCAGGGGTAGAGAAGTGAATCATGATAACCCAGCCCTCCAGGAGGCCCTGGACATGAATGTGCAAATGTGAGCAAGACAATAATCAAGTGATGCCCAGATATGGGGCTGGCCAGGTCAGGTGTCAGGAACCAGGGTGAGACTCAAGAAGATATGTGGAAAGGTGCCCTAACATGACAGATGCCATTACTGAGTCCTTGTCAATCCAGATAAAGACAAAACTAGAAGCAGGCCAGAGAAACTGAAGCAAGCGGGACCAGGTGATGGGCAGAGACGCTCTAACTAGTGAGGCCAGAGTCCCAACAGGCTTCAGATTCTGTGTCAAGCATGGCTTAGCTGGTGAGGAGACCCCAAGGATGCAGTTAGAAAGACCCTGCCTGGGAATAACATGGACACTCGTGGAGAGGTCCAGACAGTGTCTGCCCTTGATACTTGGTTATAATTCACTGAGCTGTACACTCTCACTTGAGTATGTTCAACTTGTTTAAAAACTTTTATGAATATGAGATTGGCCTGGCCCTGTCCAGGAGTGAGGGAATACTGCTCTGTGCCCTCCCTGTATCCCAAAACGGATCTGGAACTTATGGTGCTGTGCTTCTGGCTGCAGGCCCAGGAAGGGTTTAGGGCACCAGGAGAGACGGGCTGCGTGTCTCTCGCGTCCCAGCTTCAAGACTCACCCTTATTCTCCCGCTTCAAGTGCTCGATCTCCTCATGGAGTTTGACCAGCGTCTCCGAATGCTGCTGCTGCAGGAACTGCAGGCTCTTCTCCAGGTCCAGGACCCGCTTCTGTGCCTCGCTGAGCCCGAGCTGTGTGGGATGAGGTACCTGGTACTGGAGGCCCGCGAGCGGGCGCTGGCGTGGGCGCGATGTAGCCCGGGAGCCAGGGGTCGTCGAGCTGAGGGGCCGCGCCCCAGCCGCCACCCCCACCCCGCTCATGTCTTCACTGCCACCGCCTCCGCCTTCAGCTTAGTGGCCGGGTTGACCCGGCCTGGCGCCGTGTAGCCATGGGAACAGACACGCCCGAGGGGAGGGAGGAGGGGCGGGGCCTACAGCCACGTTCTGTCTAGATGAGTACATTTGACTTAAAAAGCATCCTCTGACTTGAACGTTGGAACCATCTGCATTTACAGTAGGTCTTAATGCTTCATTTTTAATAGCAGTTTACTTTTTGAGCAGGAGATACAATTATAGGTTCAAAATTAACTTCCAATTACTTCCAATAATCACAGAATCTATTCATAATGAAATGTGGATAAAATAGGAAAAACAGTTGTCTGAAGGCATCAGAGAGGGGCAAAAATTAGGAAGGGAGTGAGTACTTGAAAGGAGAGCTGCTTTTGCTGTGGGGGCTCTCTCTAGTCATTTAGACATCAAATAGGACACTACAGGTTTATTGACTTAAAGCAGAGGATGGAGGTTCTATAGGCCATGGCATCTGAAAATTGAAGAAATTGAAAGAAAAATCTGTGGTTGTCTCTGAACTGTATGCACATACCTAGACATGACTCCAAGAAGGCCAGGAGAAAGACAAATCAGGCCCATGCTCCCTGGCTGGTCTCTCAGTTTTCCTGGGACCTGCTGCTGTCTTGAGGGGAAGCAACTGCTTGGAGTTGATCTGTGATGTGTTAGTGAAAGGAAGACCCAGACTAGACAGTGGAAGAAACTGACCCACAGCTCATCTAGTCTGGACTGGATATTTAAAACCCTTGTGACAGGCTGGGGTTGTGAGTCAGTGGTAGAGTGCTTGCCTCATCTGTGTGAGGCACTGGGTTCAATCCTCAGCACCGCATATAAATAAATAAATAGAATAAAAATTCATCAACAACTTAAAAAAACAAACAAGCAAACCCTTTAAAAACATCACCACAGGGCTGAGGATGTGGCTCAAGCGGTAGCGTGCTTGCCTGGCATGCATGCGGCCCGGGTTCGATTCTCAGCACCACATACAAACAAAGATGTTGTGTCTGCCAAAAAAATAAATATTAAAAAATTCTCTCTCTCCTCTCCTCTCCTCTCTTTTAAAAAAAAATAAAATAAAAACATCACCACATTGTTGGGAGAGAGACAAGGAGGAGGAGGTACCATTGCACTAGGCCAGATTGTATGGATGCAGAGATATCAGTAAACCTGGGTTATAAGGTTATCAAGAAGACTACAGGAAAGAACATATTTTCTTCTTGCTACAAAAGTTGAGTTGTAATAGAAGTTTGCATGGGCCAGCTTGGTGCAGTGGCACGGGCCTGTAATCCCCGAGGCTTGGGAGGCTGAAGTAGGAGGATGCCAAGTTCAAAGCCAGCCTCAGCATCTTAGTAAGGCCCTAAACAACTTAGCAAGAATCCCTGTCTCTAAAATATAAAAATGGGCTGGGAATGTAGCTCAGTGTTTAAGTACCCCTGGGTTCTATCCTTGGTACAAAAAAAAAGGGGGGGGGGGGAGGAAGAGGAATAAAGAAGAAGAAAAAGAAGTAGTAGTGGTAGTAGTAGTAGTTGTTGTTGTAGTTGAAGTTTGAACAGGCCAATGAGTGTCATTGAGGCATTCTATGGACACTGCCATAAACAGCTGGTGGACCTGCAGCTGTTTCCTGCAAAGAAGTGGCACTGGAAAGCATGGACAGCAGCTTTCTACTTCTTTCAGAATGTTCCCATCAGTGAGCACTAGAGGATCCTCTTTGCAAGACTGGTGCTTAACCTGACAGAACTGGCCACCCTTCGGGCTGACCTTGGGAAATTGAAGATTCTGTACTCACATGAGAATTGGCCTAAACCTGTCAAGAAATATTAGAAGAGGGATTTTCAATATGGTTACAACCAAATTCTTTGATGCCTGGTGGCTAATGTGGTGGTATTCAACCCTGTTTTTGGTATGGAGTCATTTCTCCATATTTATGAAAAATATGGAAAATTGTGAAGCTGATTCCTGATCAGAGACCCAAAGATCTGAAAAGCATCATCAGACCCAAGTGCCAAGTTATTTACTTTCCCATAGATTTTCTGATGTGAGCAAAAGTCATTGTCAAGCATATTTTTCAACTTTTGTATCCAGCTTTCATCCACTGGTTTATTTTTATCTTTATTTTGTTTATTTAGTTATTCTAAATGTGGGGCTGAGGATTGAACCCAGTGCTCCACATGTGCCAGGCAAGTGCTTGATCTCCTCATAGAGCTTGACCAGCGTCTCCGAATGCTACTGGTTTATATGCATTTTCTTTTTCTTTTATTTTTTTCCTTCTTTTTTTTTTTTTTTTGGTACTGGGGATTGAACTCAGGGGCACTCACTCAACCACTGAGCCACATCCCCAGCCCTATTTTGTATTTTATTTAGAGACAGGGCCTCACTGAGTTGCTTAGCGCCTCGCTTTTGCTTAGGCTGGTTTTGAACTTGCAATCCTCCTGTCTCAGCCTCTCGAGGTGCTGGGATTACAGGCATGTGCCACCATGCCAAGCTCTTCTTCATTATTTATTTATTTATTAGATGTAGATGGACACAACACAATGCCTTTATTTTTATGTGGTGCTGAGGATCGAACCCGGGTCCTGCTCATGCTAGGCGAGCGCTCTACCACTGAGCCACAATCCCAGCCCCATCTTCTTCATTTTTATTAATTATATTATCTTAAAGAGTTAAGACTTAAAAAAAAAATCTTCCAATCTGTAACTCTATGCTGTGGCCAAAAAAACCCTTTTCTTTCACTTCTTTGTTCTGACCTCTTAAGGCAGCACAGAGACTGGCATGGACATTAAAGTCAAAACCTATTTTTATAGCTGGAATACAGTTAGATTAAGTAGAAATTCCAAAGAGGGAATTTCTCTCGGACTCTGACTTTACTGTGTAAAGAAGGAAAGAACAAAAGAGAATGGGGAAGGCTGGGGCTATAGCTCAGTGGCAGATTGCTTGCCTTGCATGTGTGAAGCACTGGGTTCGATTCTCAGCACCACATAAAAATAAAATAAAAAAATAAAAGCATGCTGTCATCTACAACAATAAATTTTTTTTTTTAAAAAGATGAGGAGGTAATGGAAAGGGATGTCTGGGAGCTGGGGTTGTGCCTCAGTGGTAGAGCGCTTACTAGCATTCATGAGGCACTGGGTTTGATCCTTAGCACTACATAAATGTAAAATAAAGACATTGTGTCCAGCTAAAACTAAAAAATAATTTTTTAAAAAAAGGAATACCTGTTTCTTAGACGACATTTGTAAACTAAAGCTGAAGAGGCATCAGAGTGGCCTGGTGTTTATTTCTTCCATCCCCTACTAAAGGATTTTATAGCATGTTCACCTGAGAGGGAGGGTGGAGGGGATGATATGAGGACTTCACAGTACACCTTAAGCTGAGTTTTAGTTCAGATCTATCCTGTATAATTACAAAGGTCCTACTCTGCTGGGAAATACTTGTTCAGGACTGTGCTCCAAATAGCTTAAGTTTCAAGTCAAGTGCAGCCAGCAATTCTTTTGACCCTGCTACATTTGGATGTTGTGTTCCTCAAAGGTTCATGTGTTGGGGACTTGAACTTCAGTATGGTGATGAGAGGTGATGAACCTTGAAGAGATGGGGCCTATTAGAAAGTCCTTAGATCATTGTGAGTGAATTCTCAAGAGTGAATTGTGATAAGCCTGACTCTCTCAGGTTTCATCTTTTGAGATTTGATCTCTCACTCCCACACATGCTTTTGCCAGAACCTATATCACATTATTTGAACTTTCAAGCATTCAAAATTGTGAGCTAAGTCTGGGGTTGTGGTTCAGCGGTAGAGCGCTCGCCTAGCACGTGCAAGGGCCTGGATTAGATTCTCAGTGCAGCATAAAAATAAATAGATATTGTGTCCAACTACAACTAAAAAATAAATATTAAAAAAAAAACCCACAAAGTTGTGAGCTAAATAAACCTTTTCTTAAAAATTCTGGTTTTCAGAGTTAAAGGAAGCAAGCTAAAAGCGTTAAGCAAAAGCTACATGTCATCTCTAGTGGAGTGGGCTGGGGGTTAGGCTCAGTGATAGTTCTGGCCCATGCACAAAGGCTAGGAGTTTGATCCCCAGCACTGACCAAAACAACAAAAAATTCACCTCATCAATATTGAAAAGGTGTTATTAACGTGGGCTGCTCATTCAGCAGGGCTCTGACCATGGAAAGGGGGACCTTAACACTCAAGTGACGGCTTATGGTGAGATATTGACCTAGGGCTGGTCAGTGCAGCTGTTTTAGCTGTTTCCATGACTTGGAACTTTTAGAAACCACAGATGGTCAGATTTTGATATTAAGACCAGTTTTGATGTGTTGAGAAATAGAGGGCAAAATCCACACAGCTCAGTCCACTTCAGAGCATGCCTTCCTTGGAGCCCCATCCTTCCCACCAGACATTTCAGTGTTAACATCCACCTTGGTTTTGTTGTGCACATGAACCTACCATGCCCTGGGAGAGAAACACAATGAGCAAATGGACAGGCTTGTGGCCACTGGAGAAAAGGGATATCAGGGTGCTATAGCTGTTCTATAGATCCCAACTGCCCAGAGACCCTGTTTAGGTAAACCTTCTGGAGAATGAGCCAAGGCACCAAAACACTCAGAAGCAAGGACCTGTTTATTCAGATCTATGGTCAGTTACAAGTTTTGCTTTGATTTTTTTTTTGGTCGTGGGCCCCAAAACACATTTGATTTACAGCAAAATACAAAGCCCAATATTTACAACTTGAAATGTTTTTCAAAAAACCACACATACTCCAAAAACAAAGGCTTGGTTTGTCACCACTGAGATGCTATTGTTGCTGGTGTATGTATACTATGTTATCTGTAGTATGAAAGAAAGTGAGACCCCTGGTGATTTCTCATTGATAGTGAATGTGTAATTGTCCTATACTATGAATATGTCAGTGTTATCAAAGGTTATTGTGTTTTGAGCACTTGGTTTATTGAAGATACAAACAATGCTTTTGGCTCTTTGGTTGCAGAGAGAAACTAGCAGGATTCTGCTATACCCTTTTGCCCACTAAAGACCAGTGCCCATCTGTGATACCCATGTGTGATATGGCACCACAGAAGCTGGGCCCCATTCAGTGACATGCTCAGTGGTTTGGGGGCCAAAGGTGAAGCACTCTCCTAACAAGCACCTGTGCTCTGAGAGGGTCTTCATGGAACTGAAAAGTGGAATTCTATGGTCCAGCCTTGAGCCATCTGGAGAACATTAAGAATGCTTTGCCAAATACAGTAGAAAATTTAGCTTTAAAAGTTAAGTCAGAGAGCCATTATCTAGTTTTCCAAGAATTTTTTAGAAACTTTGATTCTTCCCTGCAGTGGAGGCTGGCATCTCATGAGGAAGAGACATTCCAACTTACTATGCCACTTCAAGGACAGCCAGAGATTAAAAGTCAAAGCTGGGTCAGAGCCCCAGAGAGGACAGGCCTAGAGCCAGCGATGGGTACACTGGCCTCTAAGCATTACATGACAAAATCCTAAAATGGTTATAAAAACTCTGAGAAGGAGCTCAGTGGCTTCTGGGGCCTTGGACTGAAGGAAGGAAGGGTCCATGGTCAGCTCTGGTTGGGACACTGTGTGGTTCATAAGCCCTCTTTCTTGCCAAGCCTGGATGATTTACCCATTTATTTCTTCTGGATTACTCCCCCACTGCAGGAAAACACCCCCTAGAAGCTGAAAAATGGAAGTATCCTGCCAGGGCCCCTCAGGCCCAGGGAAGGGGCTGTGTGGCAAATCACACTGATCTGCTCTGGAGACAGTGGCTGGCTCATCAGAGCTGGTGCAGCTTCCCTCTCTCAGTCAGGAGTGTCATGGCCATGGCATAGAGGAGGTATCCTAGGACAAGGAGCAGGGAGCAGGGCAGGGGCCCAATGCAGAATAAAGAGGCCACAAAAAAAACCAGCAGGAGTGAGAGCAGTGTCCGGTAGCTGCCCAAGAAACGTAGACTGAGCCTGGGGCCTCGGGCATGGTTGGCCACTTGCCTCCGTCCCACAGGGCTCAGGAGGTGCCTGTTGGCCAGCACAGGCTCAGTGAGGTGGTAGCGACAAAAGCTGCCAAGGAAGTCATCTCGAGAACACAGAGCTACCATTTGGCCTGCAAACTGAAGCACAAACAAGAGCTCAGATGAGGTGTGAACAGTAGGTGACATGAGGGACAGCAGAGCACCCTCCCTCCCAGGTCCCCCGCAGAACTCAGGGATAACTTTCTCATAGGCTCTCTCTTCACCCTGACTCCTAATGGGGGCACAAAGGTGAGGGTGTCACCCTGGGACAGGAGTATCCTCTGTGACCCATTTCTAGAAGCCATTAGGATACCCTTGCAGCCCACTCACTCTGTGGTTGATGGTGGATGACAGCCTAAAGAGTGCTCGGACCAGGCTGGGAATCTCATAGCTTCGGATGGGCTGTAGCTCTGAGTCACCCTGGTATTCAATTTCAAATCTTCGCAATCCATTGATGATCTAGAAACCAAGATTATGAAGACAGTTCAGAAAACACTTCTTTGCCAGCAACCCAGAGAATCTGTTTACTGAGGCAAAGGAGGGTTGAGAACAGGTTGTATGACCAGGGGATGTCCCTTGGTGACATGAGTCTTTTACCTGGTAGCGGCCCAGAGGAGTGAGGATGAGTCCATCATCCCCTACAATGCAATCTGGGAGCTGCTTTTTCCCATTTTCATCCTGTGTGGTCCCCAGGGCAAACGTGAGCTGGGCAAGCTGGGCTTCACTGAGCTGGCAGAGAGAAAACACCTCTGCTTTCAATTAAGGTGAAGAGAAGGGACTGGTCTCCACCCACTGGTCTCTCTCTGTTTTCATTTATTTAAAAAAAAATACCTTTATTTTATTTATTTATTTTTATATGGTGCTAAGGATTGAACCCAGGGCCTCACACTTGCTAGGCGAGTGCTCTACCACCGAGCCACAACAACAGACCCCCCCCATGGCTTCTTGATAGTAAACGACAAGGGGAACCCAGACATTATACCCAAGATGTAGGCCTGTCTCCCACAAAATGAACCCAGGCGTGCCCTGGGACAGGAGCCATGTTGGGGCCATGTGTGCAGACCCTTGGCTGGTCATTCCGTGGAGAATAAATTCTTTGGGGAGGGGACCATGTTGAATATGGGATAAGCTCCACAACTCATACTCGAAATATCTGGCGCAGGTACTCCAGGGCCTTCTCTAGGTACTCGTCTGTCTTCCGGATGCTGTCCTGGCCCATCTCATCCAGGTCATTGGCTGGGTATAGGCCATTTGGATCTGTGGGGCTGAAGCCTAGCCATGACAGGAATGAGTGGCCAGCTGGGCTCTCCACACACTGGTCAGAGATGGACTTAGCAGTCTGTTTGGCCTGCGTGATGAGCTGAGCGAGGCGCAAGACCTGCAAGGGAGGCATGGGCAGGCCAAACTCAGGGGGCCACCTCCTAGCATCTGGCCACTCACTGGACAGATGTTGTTGCCAGCTGAGCAGGGCAGCCCTGGGGAGCTGACCTCAGGAGGTATGCATACCCACATAGGCAAGGGACCAGGAAGAGCAGATTTAAGACTTATGATCTTCCAAATTCTATCTTTATTTAAAAAAAAAATTAGACTTTACTGGAAAAAAAAAAAGTGGGGAGAGGGGACAGGAGCCACAGGACTAGCTACTCAACACCCAATCTCCCTTCTTTCCTCTCTAAATTGTGGGCACCTTCCCAAGTTCTGCCAGTTTTTACATCTTCAGGGTCCCCATGCCAGTGGCAACTCCAATCACTCACCAGGGTCCGAACCTCAGGTCCAAACATTGGGGTATACTTGCAGTCCTGGCCCTCCAGGCCATAGACATGGCTCTTCACCTTGAATGAGGCATCAGTGACAGCTGGTGGCCACGGTGACAGGAAGCTGCCAGTGACTGTGGGGGCTGTGAAGAGCCGGTGCTGGCGGTGGGGAATGACCAGTTCTGGCTCCAGGAATAGCTGCTCACCTGGAAGGTAGGACACAAGTCTGAAACCTGCTTCCCAGAGTACAGTGCTCAGGTACTGACAAGTAGGTGAAGCCAGCAGCCCAAAGACCCAGCACCAGCACCTGATGCTTAGGGGCCCCCTGGCAGTGCCAACAAGAAGGCACAACAAAGCTGAGACATAGCCATACTATTAAACCAAGATCATGCCAGGCATGGTGGTGCACACTTGTAATCCCAGCAATTTGGGAGGCTGAGGCAGAAAGATCACAAGTTCAAAGCCAGCCTCAGCAACTTAGCAAGACCCTATTTCAAAAAATATAAAAGGGGGCTGGGAATGTGGCTCAAGGGGTAGCACCCTTGCCTGGCATGTGCGGGGCGCTGGGTTCGATCCTCAGCACCACATAAAAATAAAATAAAGACGTTGTATCCACCGAAAACTAAAAATAAATAATTCTAAGAAAGAAAGGAAAGAAAGAAAGAAAGAAAGAAAGAAGAAAACCAAGATCATCTCTTGACACTACTGATCACCAAGGAAAATCACATTTCTAATAAAGGTACAGCTGTGGCTTTGCTGCCCCTCTCTTAGGACATACCTGGCCCTACCACCTGGCATGCTGTCCCTGTTTCAGCAGGGAAAAACAGGGTTCAGGGGTTCAGTTAGGCTTAGAGATTTCACTGTCCTGCTGTGTATTAAAAGTTCCCAAACCAACTTGTACTACTTAAGACACCCTGCAAGCCCTAGAGGCACAGGGTTCCTGGGTTCTTCTCCTAAGTGCTGCTTCCTGCCAAGTAAGGATCTGGCCCCAGCTTAACTGGGTGGGGACCTGCCTGATTGGCCCAGGACTGATGACTTACCTTTTTGGATCATTTCGGCCAGGTTGGGCTGGGCAAAGACTTTGGCCACTCGGAACACCATGAGTGCATTCTTGGGGCTGACCAGGTCTGTGCGGAGAGCACGGTTCAAGAAGCCCACAAACAACTTGGTGTACATCAGAAGGTTCTCCTGGACAAAGGGTGCCCTGAGGACCAGGGTGGCAGGTCAAGGGCCAGCCTGAGCAGGACTCCAGGCTAGATCACTCACTAGAGGCAGAAGTTGTGCTGGTCTTCACCCATTAAACCCTTGCTTCTCCCTGGACTTCTAGACTCTGGTCAAGGATTCAAAAAATGGAAGCTCAAGGAAGTCAGGTTTTGGTGGGTAAGGGGTGGAGGGTGGGGGGAGAACAGAGAGAAAGGTGGTACAGAGGCAGGACTTAATGGATCTTCAAGGATGAGGCCCTTCCCAAGGCTACCATGGCAAGGTTGGCCCATATCTTGTCAGGGTAGAGGGAAGAATAGGAGAGGGTTGCCAAGGGAAGGCCTGGGAGTCAGCTATGAGAAACAATAGGAGATGACAAGAGGGTGACTACTTCTCTGTGCTGGTGAAGGGTGGAGGGATGGTTTAGGGGTGACATTTGAGCCAGGAAGTAGGTCAAGGGCAAGGGGATAAAGCATTGTTTTCCTTGGGAAATCCATTGCAGGACATGATAAAGCTCAGTCTAGGAAGAACCAACCTCTGTAACCATTTGTAGGGACTGGGAGAAGAGCCAAGAAGGTAAACAGAGGCAGGGCTGAGACAGTTAATGCATAGCCCCCCTCCCCCCCTGGCTCAACATCCAGCCATGAAAGCTTGTTGCTTGGAGAAGAGAGTAGAGTCTTACCATTTCTCTGACACACATCGGGGCTGGGAATCACTGCTCTGAGCCTGTTTCTCAGGTGCATACCTCCATGGTTGTAGGTAGCTCAGCCACATTTCCAGGACCTGGTGAGGGACACATGTGTCCTGAAGATCTGGTGGCCTACAGACTGATTCCTGGGATGCAGCTCAGGTGGGAAGTTCTGCACTTCAGCTGTGGGCAGGGGATGTGCTGGGAAAGGGCAGGGGATACCCTATGTTCTGGTCTCTTCTTGACTTCAGTATAGATGCCAAAGAATTTCTCCCACATTCTCCCAAGGGACTTGCATACCTGTGATGTTTAACTCTTATGTTAACCCTTCAGGAGCCGGGCTCTCAAGCAGCTAAGCACAGCTGTGTGAGGCTGGGAGCCTGACCAGCACTCAATATAGCTGGGGCAAGCCAGGGCTTTTCTGTACCTAAGGGTTGACTGCAAACTTAAACAGGAAGAATTATATGGCTCACCAAGGCCTCTTCTCCGAGGCCTCAGTGCTAACAGTTGTTTACTTATCAGGGCCCAAAGTACAAAAGCAAAAGTGCAATGGGGCCAACACTCACAGCTCTGAAGGACGCATCTAAGGGCCAGTGGCCAAAGCAGTGCTGTAGGAAGAGGTACAGTTTCTGTTGGACAAACCTTGGGACAGCGGCCCTGAAAGGAAAGGGAGTCAGTCATGTCACATGCCCCAAGGGGGAGGATCTGCTCAAGAGTAGCCTGGCCTGTGGTGTGTAAGAATCTGCTTTTATCGGTGGGGAATACTGAGGATTGAACCCAGGGATACTCTATCACTGAGGATCTCTAATGCTTTTAATTTTTTACTTTGACAGAATCTTGCTAAGTTGTTTAGGATGGCCCTGAACTTGTGATCCTCCTGCCTCAGCTTCTGTAGTCAGTGGGACCACTCTGCCTGAGTCTCTGCTTCACCAGACAGGAACATCGAGGAAAGATCTGTTTTTAGCTACTCTCTTCAGAGAAAATGAAAGTTAAGACAAAAACCCCAAGGACACAGTAAGTGGTTGTGCCAGTGTGATTTCCCCCAACATGTCACCTAGCTCCATACAAGTCACGTACTCTGCTAGCCCATGAGGGTCAGGGCACTGCTCACCTGCCTAGCTTTGCAGAGAACCCACATGCTCTTTGAGCAAGAGGGTTGCCCTTTATCCTACTCCACATGCCCTGGGGAAAAGTCATGATAGGTGACATGCACACCAGAAAAGGACGTCAGAGGCCATGGAAACCCTGTCACAGCCCTGCACTGACCGTTTGAATTCTTCCAGGGGGCTGGTAGCATGAGAATGGGTGGAAGGAGAGGCCTGCTCTGGCTTCAGGCTGTTGGCAAAGGCGTGCAGGTGCTTCAGTAGCAGGCGTACCACCAACACATGCTCTTCAGTGGGTGTGAATGATTCCTGAGGCAGAGAAGGCAGGCATCAGGGTCTGAGAAGGTGTGAGACACCCTGTGCTTAGGCCCCAGGTCTGACCTTATCCCACCCCTGGGCCAGCTGCTCTGCTCCCCGACAGGAGGCAGGGGCCAGGTTGGGATCAGAGCCACCCTCTAGGACCCCACTGTGCCTGACATTCATTGGACATAATGCTGGATTTGGACTAAGACCAGCTCAGTGGTGAAGGGATTCGTCCAGTGCCTATAGCACCTGCCCTGGGGTTGGCTGGTTAAATAGGCAAATCTGCAAAGTGCTTTCCAGTACTTCTTAGCCCTACTTTTGTAACACATGACCATATATTCTCAGCACTGCTGTCTGTGCTGGGCCTCAGGGGTCCCCACATCCTGGCCAGTCAGGACGAGGAACCGAGACAGGCCAGTAACCCACCAGAGTTCTGGACTCAGGGTCACCCACCTGCCTCCTGGGTGTTTGTAGAAAATTCACCGGGGATCACCTTTCAGAAGTGGGAACTTCTTCTTTCTCCCCAGTTCCTTCTCTGGCCACAACCCCAAGCCCTCCCACCTGCTCCCCTTCCTGGCCATGGACAAATGGGGAGTTCAGTCACAGAGGAGCCCAGGATGTCATTTCCTCCATTGCCAGTGAACCTGTGGTCAGCTAAAATTCCCAAGCAAGAGCATCCTCAAGCTTGTGAGCTACACTTCTAATTGACAGCACAAATCCAGGATCTTTGTGGCTAAGACCTGAGAGGACAGCCCTTTTGCTAGCTATAGGGTTTCCCTTGTTTGGCATGAGTGCAGTAGTGTGATTTGGAATTGAACTGTGGAGGCAGGGTGTTGGGGTGTCACCTCAAGGCAGGAATCAGATGAACACACTCCTTTCCCACACTCGCCCCCCCAGTTTTCTTGTGCTTCAAACACATTTGCAATGCTGAGGCCAGCATAGGGCCCAGTCTCCTGGTAGACCCTCGGGTGCAGTAGATCACACACAGGATGCTGACCATTTCACTATCCACTCAGGCTTCCGTCATGAAAATACCCCAAATCTAGGTGATATACCTCACTGACTAAATCTGAGAATAGAACTACAAACAGGAGGTTATTTTCTTCTGTTTGTCTGTAATTTAATTTGTACAAAGAATTTCACTGCCTTTTGTGTGTGTATGTATGTATTACCGGGGATTGAACCTTGGGCTTCATGCGTGCTGGGCAAGCACTCTACTACTGAACTACATCTCCAGTTTTTTTAAAGATTTTTTTGTAGTTGTAGATGGACAGCATGCCTTTATTTTACTTGCTTATTTTTTTAATGTGGTGCTAAGGATTGAACCCAGTGCCTCATAAGTGCTAGGCAAGCACTCTGCCAATGAGCTATAGCCCCAGCCCTCCAGCTCTTTTTAAGACAATGTCTAAGTTGCCCAGGACAGCCTTGAACTTGCATTCCTATCTGTCTCCTGAGTAGCTGTGAGTACAGGCACTCACAATGATGTTCAGCTTTACAATGGTTTTGAAGAAAAAAAAAATATAATATATGATGTCCCCTCTGAAACTCATGTTGAAATATTTTTTTAAGAATTGTTTTTTACCTTGATTTACTTATTTTCACATGGTGCTGAGGATCAAACCCAGCACCTTGTACATGCTAGGTAAGCGCTCTACCGCTGAGCCACAACCCAGCCCTCATGTTGAAATTTAATCCCCACTGTGAGTTACTGAAGTGGGACCAGGTGGGACCTTTAAGAGGTGATTAGGGTGAATAGTTATCCTAAAAGTGGGTCTGCTGCAAAAGCCAGTTTGGCTAGGTACGTCTCATGTTCTTTATCCCTTGCAAGGTGACGTCCTGCATCATCTAAGGACTCTACCAGCAACAAAGCCATCACCAGATGTGGCCCCATGACCTTGAATGAGAGTTGTGAGCCAAAATAAATCTCTGTGTGTGTGTGTGTGTGTGTGTGTGTGTGTGTAAGAGAGAGAAAGAGAGACTGGGGATTGAATCCAGGGGCATTTACCTCCGAGCTACACCCCCAGCCCCTTTTGTTTTATTTTTGGGATAGGGTCTCACTAAGTTGTCAAGGCTGGCCTCAAACCTGCCATCCTCCTGCCTCAGCCTCCTGAGTTGCTGGGACTACAAGTATGCACCACTGTGTCAGGCAATAAATCTCTTTTCTTTATAACTTACCATTCTTTTCAATTTGTTTTATTAGTAATAGAAAACGGACTAAGATACAATAATAATGTTAATGCTAATTAATACTAAAAGAATAGAAGAATATCAATGCCAAACTATAACACCCCAATTCAGGAGGCTTACCCTTTTCTACACCCTCATTCCTGACCCGTGGGGTCCTAAGATGCGATGTCATTCCCATCATCACACGAACTGGTAGTCCACCTTCTCCTGCTTGTGCACCTCTCCCACTTTGCCCCATCCTCTGTTTAATCTCCACTGAGAGTTACTGAGGTGGGACCAGGTGGGATTTTTAAGAGATCTGAGGAGCTAGCTTCTGGGGGCCAGGCTCTAGATGCCTGTTGCTGGCAACCACATGGCACCCTCTCAGGCTACTTTCCTGCTAGGTTTGCCAAACAAAACTTCTCTCCTAACTCCCTAAACTCTCTTAGGCCAAATTCCCATGCAAAATATGATGCCACAGTTGTACTTGGGCCTCTATGCAGTACTGGGGATGGAATCCAGGGACTTGTACATACTAGGCAAGCACTCTACCACTGAGCTACACCTGTAGTCCCCACCTGCTTACTTTCTAAGAATGAATCCCCAAAGCTTACAGCATTTCCTACTGGGCCCAACCTCTCAAGGATTCTTCCCTCACCCCTCTCCTACTCTGGGGATGAATGAGCCAGATGTTTTTCCAGGGATCCTGTTACACATTTGGTCCTCCCATGAGGCTTCTTCTCCCTCCTTAATGCAACCCCTGCTTCTGAGCCCTGCCATATGCTGCAATCACCATCCTCTCCCACCAACACTGGGTGGCCAAGCCATTTTTCTTATCTTGTACTCAAATTCAAGCTTTATTGTTGTGGGATCCTCTCCAGAGTGAGTAGAACAGAGCCCTGGCCACAAGCATGGCTCCACATTTCCACTGTTTCTCACAAATAAGCTAATGTCATCATCCCTGAAATATCTGACAGGTCTAAACTCCACTTCTTGACCTGAATCCATTGATATACTTGTTATTCTGAGTACACCAGCCTCCATGAGGTTACCACCTGATGTCATTTGCTATTGGAAGAGTCTACCAGTAGCTCGCGCTCAACAGGCCAGACCCCACTAGACTGTCAAAGCCCTGAGTTCTTCCCACCCCTTGCTATACATACAGACTTGGGATAGCTGCAGCCTCCAGCAGGTGATGGCTCTGAACAGGGTAGAACCCACACCACCCCTAAGTCCCAAGGCCTCTGCACCTTGGTCACTTCCTGAGCATCATGACCTTGCACAGTGAAGGTGAGCTGAGCCACTGCAAAGCTCACTCTCATACCTGAGAACTTGAGATACCTCTGCTGGTTGGGGTTCACCCAGACACATTTTGTGACGTCAAGGCCATATGCCTCACTCTGTCACATGGCCACATACCCCCAAACCAAGCTAGTCTGCAAAGGTGGAGGCCTGGCCTCCTGTCTCATTCACAGACTATCCCTCTGCTGAATACTAGCCTCTCAATCACATGCAGCAGGCCCCAGCCAGACCTTGCTCTGCCAATGTGCTGACATGCACTGTGTTCCCACTGTGGGGCAAGGGTAAGGGAAGGAAACGAGAGCGGCCAGTACTTGGTAGGCGTGGAGGGCCTGGAGGCTGGGTTGGGCAGGGCTGTGGAGGGCGCTGGAGACACTGAGTCGGTAGTGCAGAACCTCCAGCTGAGAGACAACACAAAGAGAGAAGCCAACAAGAGTCAGGGGGTTGGAAGATGAGGCAGGGTGGGGAAAGGGAGAGATGGGACCAAACAGGACAGGGAAAGGGGGAAGTGGGGAGAGAAAGAACAGTGAGAAGGAGCCCAGAAGGAAGGAGAAACAAACAAACAAACAAAACAAAACAAAACAAAACAAAAACATGTCAGTGGCAATCCAACCAATTTTAGCCCCAGCAGCCTTGGGCCAGCAAAGCACCACCCCTCTCAGTGGTCCAGACCAGGGCCTCCCAGCACAGGCAAACCTACAGCCAGGCCCATTTGGACATATTCTTCAGCCTTACAGACTGAGAAACAGTCAGACCCTCAAGATCACTAGGGAAGCTCCTCAATGTTGCTAGAGCTAAAGGCATCTTCAGCTCTGAAGTTAGCCCAACTCTGTCCTTCGAAAGAACCTGCTCTCCCACCAACCAAGAGACTGCACTACATGTGGTACATGCACACCATAGCCCACCAGAACCCAGGTCCCGCACTAGGACATACTGTCAGCCACCAAGGCCCAGAAGGCTCAGGAAAGAAAATTTTTGTTGTTGTTATACTGATGATTAAACCCAAGGGTGCTCTACTACCGAACTATATCTCCAGCCTTTTTTATTCTGAGATGGTCTTGCTAAATTGCCCAGACTGATCTTTTTTTGATCTTCCTGCCTCAGCCTCCCAAGTGTTGGGATTACAGGTATGCACCACAGCACCAAGCTCAAAAGAGAAACTTGAGAAGCCAGTCCCAGGACTCTCTGTCCAGAAAAGTATATATGCTGTTGGCCCTCTGTAGCTGTAGGTTCTGATCCACAGATGTGACTAATCTTTGATGGAAAACATTCAGGGGAAAAAAAAGTTGCGACTGTATTGATCATGTATAGACTATTTTTTTTGTCATTATTTCCTAAATAATACAGTATAATAACTATTTATATAATATTTACATTGAATTAAGCATTATAAGTAATTTAGAAGTAACTTAAGCATATAGGAGAATATGCATAGATTATATTCAAATACTATATCATTTTATATAAGGGACTTAAAGATTTATGGGTTTGGTATCCTCAGGTGGCAATGCTCCTGGAACCAGTCCCCCACAAATATTGAGGAACAACTGTAATGTACTGGATTTCACTGGTTGTCTTTGAGAAGAAATTTACCAAATTAGTTAGGTAAATGACATGATCAATTCTTATGTGTCTAAAATCCAATCAATGCTCCTTCCACGAATGTTTCTCTCTCAGAACTGAGAGGACAGGGACAGGTTTCCAGGTACAGAGATAAGCACAGGCTCAGCCCACCATGCCCACTCTCTGCCCTCCACACCCCACATTCTGTAAATTTAAGTCCCAACTGTAAATTAGTCCTAACTGTGGGAAGACAGCTGCTTCTACCTCACTAGGATTCCCTGCCCTCCAAATGCACAGGGATCTCAATGGAAGAAGCCCCAAGAATTTGGCTATAGCCACATAGTCCTAGAGGCAGCAGGAACCCTGAGGCTGGGACAGCCCAGGAACAAGGGTGACAGCTGAGCTAGCATGCTGTCTGGTCCCCAGCCCAGGATCCTCTACCCTACTGACCTGCACCATCACTGCCTGCTGATATACCCTTCATCTAACCCAGCCCAGAGCAGGCCTGGCACAGAAAAGGCCATGCCTCCTGCCAAAGCAGCATGCCTGCCAGGATTCATACAGGAGAGCTCAGAATGCACAAGTCAATGCTGAGAAATGCAGGGCCGGGTGGGAAGCACAGTAGGATGGCAAAGGCCCCTCATAGCTTTCCTCTGTACCAGACCCCAGACTTGGATGCAGCACTCAGGGAGCAATCTGGGAGTAGTTTCCCAATTGAGTCTCTGCCCCTCCCTGTAGAAACACAGGGCAAGTTCCACAGTCACCTACAGAGCCATAGCTGTCACTGTCCCCCAGCCACTGGGCAGTGAATGCATGCCCTGAACCCAGCCTGGCCAGAATGGGACTTAGGTGCTGCACTTCTTGCATCTAGAAATTAGAGAGGGGTTGGCAAGGACTTCCATAAGATAGGGACAGCACAGGTCATGATAAGCAGTTAAGGGGCCTTGAATGATGGGGACTTCCACAGCTGTCTTCCCCCAGCTCCCATCCACTCAGTATTCTTGGGTTTTGTTTTCTGCCTTAACAGGAGAAGCCAAAGGGCAGATGCTCTTTGGGCACTGTCCTTCCATTGCCAATCATTCTGGGCAGGTCTCACCCAAGGTCTGGCCAAGAGGAAGCTGGGGACAAAAGGGAAGGTGCTTTCCTTCCTGAGGATGGACAACCCACTGACCTTTCTGCATGGCTCATGAAGACACAGAATCTTCATGTGACAGTCCAGAAGGGCCTTTCTGGTTGACCCTTGAAAGTAGGTATAGCTTCCACTCACTTAGAAGGCAGTATAAGCACAAAGGAAGACAATGCAGCAAAGCATCATGCACAGGACTGAGTGAGCCTCCCAGGGTCCCAGGGGAGAAGTTTAGCTCTGGGAACCAACTTGAGAGAAGCCCAGCTGCCATGCGCTAGCTAGGAACATAAAGCAAGGCTACATTGGAAGCACTGGAAGAAAGGGCATTGCAGGCTCTTTGTGTTCAAGGGGCACAGGACAGAGTCTTTAGCCTTTCCACATTCTCCTCCTCCTATGTGATGCCAAGGATGGAGATTTGGGGTGCCGTGTGCTTTGAGAGAGCAGCAGTAGGTACAAATCTCATTCTCCACACAGCAGAGCACTGGGGTTATAGAACTAGGACTCCGCAGCAGGAGCAGAACCATGATCTTTCCCAAAATCTGAGATAATTTATCACATACCCTTCTCATTTTTAATTTCATCACCCACCCATAGACTCTTAAAAATCTTGAAATTTTTAAGAATTCTGTGGAGTTGTCACAAAATCAACATCTATAGAGCAAACTTATACACAGAAACCATGGCAACAGACGGTACAGTTAATGCTGCCTTGGGTAGGGGCTTGGGTATGTGATTCAAGTTATTTACAGTATGTGAACCTTGCTGTGACTCTAAGTGCCTATGCAGACACTCACTAATATGGGCCCAGTCCGAGGCAGAAATAGCTGGAGGTTCCAGGGACTCTGCCACCTCCATGTCTCAGCAAATGAGCATGCTGCCCAGGGAAGGAGGGAGAAGAAAAGCCATAGAAAGGGAGGGAGGAGGAGGAGGCAGGCTGGGCCATATGCAGGAGAGCAGCAGGCCCCATCCACTATAAAAATGTTTTGTTGTTGTTGATGCTCTGGAGTAGGTAAATGCAGTGCAGGCAAGCAAAGAAGGTTTGGGTTCACTAGTGGTAGGGGTCTGTGGAGGGCTATCACCTCACCTGAGAGCATGAGAGTATTGCTGATAGCAATGGGGAAACCAGGATGTGACTCCCAGAGGCAACTGCAGCTTCCCCTACCCTCAGAGCAATAGCACCAAAATCTCAGCCATTCCTGCTACAGGAAGAATCCACATAGGGAGACCCCCAGAAGGACAGACCACTTAAGGGCTTAGCCCTTGAAGTGCAAGCTGCCCGTATAACTGGAGAACAATACTCATTTGTGTTCAACGTCTGAGTAAGGGGTAGATGGTGGGCTTCTGTGTCCCATCATCTAGGCTGTGACAACTAACTCAGACTATGGACAAGGAATAGCAGATTGACCAGGGTCAAAGGCAAGAGGTAGACCAACTATGGTAACATACCTTGGCATGAGGAGACTGCATTTTTTGGTACATCTCCAAGGAGTAATGATGAAGCCACATTTCAACAAAAACCTGCAAAAGAGCATGATCGAAATTGTTTGACAACAGTGCCAAGACCATTCAATGGGGAAAGGAGTCCTTCCAACAAATAGTGCTGGGAAGACAGTTGTCCGCATACAAAAGAATAAAATACCACACATAAAATTAACTCAAAATGGATCAGCAGTCTAAATGTAAGAGCTAAAACCATAAAACTTAGAAGAAAACATAGAGAAAGCTTCATGACAATAGATTTGATCAAGACTTTTTCATTATGAGATCAAAAGCACAGGCGAATAGAAGGAAAAAAGACATTGTGATATTATTAAAACCAAAACTTTGGTGATTCAAAAGATACTATCAACAGAGTAAGGCAGTCCACAGAATGGGAGAAAATACTTGCAACCACACATCTGATATAGGGTTAATTTCCAGAAATATACACAAAGTCTAAAACTCTATGACAAAAAGTTAAAACAACCTGACTGAAAAATGAAAAAACATCTTTCTGGGTGTAATGGTGCATGCCTGTAATCCCAGCAACTCTGGAGGCTAAAGCAGGAGGATCATAAATTCAAGGCCATCCTCAGCCATTTAGTGAGGATTTAAGCAACTTAGCAAGACCCTGTCTCAAAATAAAAAGGGTTGGGAATGTGGTTCAGTAGAGAAACCCTTCAGGGTTCTATCCCCAGCACCAAAAAAAACACCTAAATACCTTGAATAGATATTTTTCCAGAGAAGATTTATGAATGGCCACTAAGATGCTCACCATTAACTAATCATTAGAGAAACGCAAATCAAAATGAGATACTACTTCAATATTGACCACAGGGTCGCTATTATCAAAAAATAATTGATCATAAAAATGTGGAGAAAATAGAACTCTATGTACCCCGCTGGTGGGAACATAATAAAATGGTACAGAAACTCTAACAAAACAGTATGGTGATGCCTCAAAAAAAAATTAAACATAAAATTAACATGTGATTCAGCAATTCCATTCCTAGGAATATTGGGTGTACCCTAAAAGATCTAAATACTGGATTTTTTTTTTTTTTTCTAATGTAGTACTAGTGATTGAACCCAGGGGCTCTCTACCACTGAACTATATGCCCAGTCCTTTTTTTATTCTTGGTTGTCCATAGACCTTTATTTTATTTATTTATATGTGGTACTGAGCATTGAACCCAGTGCCTCCCACATGCTCGGCAAGCACTCTATGCTGAACTACAACCCCAGCCCCTGCCCAGTCCTTTTTATTTTTTGAGATAGGGTCTTAATAAGTTGCCAAGGTTAGCCTCAAACTTGTGATCCTCCTGCCTCAGCCTTAAGTTGCTAGGATTACAGGCAGAGTACCTGGCTGAAAGCTGGATCTTGAGATATTTGTACCCTTATGTTCATAGTAACATTATTCCCAATAGCTAAAACTGGAACCAACCCAAATGTCTATCAACAGAAAAATGGATAAACAAAAGATGATATGTACATATAATAGATATATCCATATAATAATTCAGCCTTAAAAAGGAGGTTATGCTAAGTAAATACTGTGTGTAATCTAGATAAATATTCTAAGATATGAAGTACCTAGAGTAGTCAAATTCATAGAAACAGAAAACAGAATAATAATTACTGGGGGTTGGGAAGGGGAAAATAGATCACTGTTGTTTAATGGGTATTCTTTCAGTTTTTGAAGATAAAAAATGTTTCAGAATTTAGATGCACAACAATGCGAATGTACTTAGTACTACTGAACACTTATAAAAAATGGTTAAGATGATACAATTTATGTTATATTTTAACCACAATTAAAACTTTTTGGGCTGGGGTTGTGGCTCAGCGGTAGACCGCTCACCTGGCACGTGCATGCGGGACCCTGGGTTCGATCCTCAGCACCACATAAAAAACAAATAAGTAAAATAAAGGTATTGTGTCCAATTACAACTAAAAAATAAATATTTAAAAAAAAAAAAAAAACCAACTTTTCATTAGCTGGGCATAATGGGGCAGGCTTATAATTCCAAGTGACTCGGGAGACTGAGGCAGGAGGATCCAAGTTTGAGGCCAGCCTCAATAATTTAGTGAGGCCCTAAGCAACTTAGTGAGACCCTGTCTCAAAATAAAAAATAAAAAAATGGCTGGGGATGTGGCTCAGTGGTAAACCTCTGGGTTTAATTCCCAGTACCAAAAACAACTTGAAACAGAACTCTTCAACTCTGTCCTGAAAGTGTCCGTTCACCTGCCTTCCTCATAGCCAACACAGCACAGAGCCCACATTAGCTTGAACCATCTGGACTACCATGGTCTGCTCTATGAACAACAATATGACAATTCCTATCATTTCTACCTCCTAGGGCTGCTGTGAAAAATAACCTGGGGGCTTCTAAAAGCACAGCACTCCACACACCACTACAAGGTAGGAGATCAAATCCCATCCTATTCATGTTCCAGGCTGTCAATAGCAATACTATGGATAACAAGTCAGCCCCAGAATCTAGCATCAGAACCAGATGATTCTCTCTAGAGCCTGGGTGGCCAGCACACAGAAGGGCAGAACTGGGCTGGGGTTGTAGCTCAGTGGTAGAGTGCTTGCCTAAAATGTTTGAAACACTGGGTTCATTCCAGCACCACATTAAAATAAAGGTATTGTGTGCATCTACACCTTAAAAATATTATATATGTATATGTATATGTGTATATAAACAAAAGAAAAAAGGGTAGGACCACTTAGGACGTGAGCAAGCCCAAGCAAGGGCCCCCTCCCATTTGCATCTCCTGACACGAAGGGTGGTGGCTCCCTTCTGACCAAAGTGGAGGCTTTGTAGGGCCCTCATGTTTCAGCATCATAAAAATGCTTCTCTGGGGGCTGGGGATGTGGCTCAGGCGGTAGCGCGCTCGCCTGGCATGCGTGCGGCCCGGGTTCGATCCTCAGCACCACATACAAACAAAGATGTTGTGTCCGCCAAATACTAAAAAAAATAAATATTAAAAAAAAAAAAAAAAAAAATGCTTCTCTGGCAAGATTTAATACCCACAAGATGGTGTTCAAAAGGAAACATCTTAAAACAACATGTGAGAGGATCAGAGGACCAGGGTGGGATGTACAGCATTCACACAATGATTTCTCTTTTTTTAAAAAAAACTCCCTCTTTCTTTCTTCTTTTGTATGGAAATGCAGGACACTAGGGATTGAACCCAGGGTGCTCCACCAGTGAGCTACATATCTAGATCTTTTTTTTTTTTTTTTAACATTTTATTTATTTATTACTGTGTATGTTTTACAGGGATTAAACCCTGGGGTGCTCTACCACTGACCTATATTCTATGCCCTTTCTGAGATAGAGTCTCACTAAATTGCCCAGGCTGGTGCCGAAGTTGCAGTCCTCAGGCTCCTAGTGGTAGGATTACAGGTGTGTGCCACCATGACCAGCAACTGCAATGATTATATCACCAAGAGAAAAACAAAACAAGTCAGAAACAGTGGTGCATACTTATCATCCTAACTACTTGGGAGGTTGAGGCAAGTTTGAGGGCAGCCTTGGAAACTTAACTAGACCTTGTCTCAAAATAAAACATTAAAAGGACTGGGGATTTAGTTTAGTGGTAGAGCACCCCTAAGTTCTATCCCCAAGCAAAACAAAACTCTTGTAGTTGAACAGGGAACCTGTGATGGAAAACATCATCAATAGCGTATTGGTTAAACAGGTGGATAGATTTCTTTTCACAGGTTTTCTAAATGTCTCAGCAGGAAAATGCCAACATTTAGTACTACCTTCAGGCTCACAAGATGTTTTGAGCATTCTACCCTATATGGTGGAGAGTGGTTGAGCAGTTTGTTTTGAAATGGAAGCAGAGGGGGCTGGGATTATGGCTCGGCGGGGGAGCGCTCGCCTAGCACCAGCAGGACCCAGGTTCAATCCTCAGCACATATTAAAAAAAAAAAGTCATTGTATTGTGTCCATCTACACCTAAAAAATATTAAAAAACAAAAAACAAAACAAAACAAAACAAAACAAAAAAACCCCCACTATTTTTCTAAAAAAAAGAAATAGAAGCAGAGACAGACCCAGCCTCCTGGGCTCTCACCTGGAGGAGAGTTTCTGACCTCCAGATCTCATGGGAGGCAGGGTCTGCATTCACAGATGTCTGATGAGAGATGTGTCGCTTCAGAAGGCTGGTGTGATGAAGGCCGTAGGAGGCAAAGGGCATGGCTGGTGTCCTGACAGTGATATGAAAACAGGCCTGAGTTAGGGATTATTGCTGTCTAAGCTGGGGGCAATCTGGATATCAAAATCAATGATGTCAGTAACTGAATATAAGATATTGAACCATATACAACAACCCCCAGGTCCATATTTATATTCTTTTTTTTTTAATTAATTTTTTGTAGTTGTAGATGGATAGCATACCTTTATTTTATTTGCTTATTTTTATGCGGTGCTAAGGATAGAACCCAGTACCTCACAAATGCTAGGCAAGTGTTCTGCTACTGAGCTACAACTCCAGCCTGTGATATTCTTAAATAAATAAATAAGGGAGAAGGGACTCCTTACCATAGAGTCCCCACTTAATAAATGTTGAAGGGATGAAATCAGAAAATCACCATTTGGCAACTGCCCAATTAATATCTGATTTGGGTAAGAATCAACAGTGGATGCTAACATGAGTGATGATTACATACTCTCAATTTATCTTCCCACTAAATCCTCAGTATTAATTTAGGGCAAAGTATGGATTTAACAATAGAAAAATCTGGCTAACACCCTTAACCCAATGACCAAGCTCATATCACCAGTATTAGGGCAAAGGGACACCATGAGTCTCCCAACTGGACACCAGGGAAAAACCAAACATCACAGCTGTTGTGCTTCTGCCCAAAAAGTCCAAGCTGGGCCTAGCCATGAGCGGACAAAAAACAGACAGCTCAAGTGAGGGAGCATCAACACACAAGTGGCCTGTATATTAAGAGGAGCCATGGTTGGGAAAGACAGAGACTGAGGGACTGTTCCAGACTGAAAGGCACTAGAGAAACCAGTGCACACAGCGAGCAAGCCTGTGTCAGGCTCAGTTAGGTAACAGATGTGAGTTGGGTGGCTGACGGCAAACTCTTCACAGGGTCTGAGGATTAGGTGATGACTGGTAGCAGTACTAGCTACCATGTAACAACAGTATTCCTGCTGTGGACAGAAGTACCATTGTCATGTAGGAGAATGCAACAGCTTTTGGGAAATACAGTTTGGAATATTAAGAGGTCCTGGGGTAGCATATCTATAAGTTGTTCCAACAGTCCAAGGGGGGTGGGAGGAGGGTGTGCGTATGTGTGTGTGTGTGTGCGCGTGCACGTGCTATAGGAATGAATTTAAAGAGAAAGGATTAAAGAGACATTGCAAAGTGTCAACAATTTGAGAATCTGGGTGAAAGGATTATGGAACATTTTTGTTACTTTTCTGTAAGTCTGAAGTTATTTCCAAATAAAAAGTTTAAATAAACCAAGAACAGAATACTTCTTGGAAGCTGCATTCTGTCTTAGAGAGGGTATGACTCCAACCCACCTCCAAATCCTGCTTAACCAGAGTACAGTCAAGGTCACCAGCTACTGTTGTCACCTAGGCAGCTTCTCCTGTCTCCTGAACCTATCTCTCCACTCTCTGAGGGCATCAGTCCACACATGTGAGTTTTGTCTGAAGGCATGGCCTAGTGTGCATATGTCAGCAAATATGAGCTGGGTCAGTATCTGCAGCACACAGCCTGTATGCAGCCTCCCAGTGTAGGAGCTGGGCCAGTGAGGTTAAGAAGTAGGAAAGGAACACAGGCAACTGCTACTAGAGAAGGAGGGGCTCCTGTAGAAAGTTGGCCAAGACGTCCTGAGTTAAAAGTCTATAATGGCTCCATGGAGTCATCCAGAGAATGCTCAGGATGACTTAGGCTAAGACTGCTACACATCCCCTAGATGTGCAGTACAGCATTAGGCTCAGTCTATATAACCTGGCACAAAAGGTTTTTCATCCCATGGCCTCCCCCTATTATTTTTAGTCCACAGGACAATTGTTCACCTTACACCCTGCTTGCCACATCAATGGGGTTTAGATGCTACAACTGGTGAGGGTTGTTATGAGAACATAAGCCTGTTCCCATACCAGAAGGTCATAAATAAAGCCACAGACCACCAAAAACTACAACACAAAATGCCCTCCAGTCTGTAGTAGGATGGCTGGCATCGGGATATGAGAGGTAAGAAAAATCAGAGACTCTCAAACAATGGGTGGTACCCCTGTCTCTGTAGGCAATGCCACTGACCGGGTCACTTCTTTATAGAAGAGCCAGGCCTTTATGACCAAGGCGTCTTACCTGGGAGCTGGTGAGGGGCTGGTCCCCCCTGGACTGGAAGAGAGTGGGGGAGGCACACTGCCTTCAGTGGGCAGGAACCACGACAGGTACCTGTCGACCAGGATGAAATAGGCACAGTCTGAAGTACGGACATGGAGGGACACAGGTAGTGGCTAGAAAACCAAACTCATTATTAGTGTGGGCTCTGGGTTCCAAGCTAGCTTCCTCCAAGCACCAACAACTACAGGGATACCCCAGGCCAAGCCCCCACCCTTCACAGCAGGACTTGGTAAAGCAAGAAGGCACTCAAGAGGCATTCCTTCTGTACCTTTTGAGTGATGAGGCTCAAGGCAAAGAAGAATATGTAATACTCAAATGGATCTGACAGCAGTGTCAAGGAGCAAAACAGTATTGGTGGGCCACCCTCCAATGATGTGTACTGAGCTATTCACAGCCTCCCCACCATTCAGGACACCAAAGGATACTGAGGGCCAGGTTCAGGCCAAGGCCCCCAGTTGGGGGGAACTGGACCTTGTTGTGGTACAGAGGGCTGTCGGGGAGGACACGCTCCTGGATAGATGCCTTCACAGGGCCCTGCAAAGAGAGGAATGTGGGCTCATGGGCAGACTCCAGCACTGTGCCCTCCAGGTAGTGCTGCCCTTTGGGAAGGCTGCTAAGGAAGAGACCAGCACACAGAACTTGCCTATGTGGATAATGTCCTTCCTGTGGGCAGTGCTTGGACAAAAGAGGTTTTGCTTATAATTTTTCCTTTTATCCTCAAAAAAAGTTATAAACAGCAAGCGTAGCAGCTGGGTGTGTTTTTAAGTCCATTTCCCTTGCTTTTCTTTTTTTCTTAAAATTTACTTTTTAGTTGTAGGTGGGCACACAATATCTTTATTTCATTTTTATGTGATGCTGAGGATTAAACCCAGTGCCTCATGCATGCTAGGCAAGTACTCTACCACTGAGCCACAACCCTAGCCCTCCCTTGCTTCTTAAACCCACATAGGAAGTCATTCCTCAATTTTCCCCTAAAAGACTGGAGGCTCAGAATATCAAAGTAAGCAGTCACATGGCTCTGTTGGCCGCTCAGTCAGGAGCACATCAGGCAGCATAATGCCTTCTCCACTGGCAGAGTTTGGAATGATTTTTTAAAAAAGTTGATATTAAAAATTCTAATGTGTGATGCCTCCTGAGCTCTGACCAGACTCTGGAATTCTCCTGCCCACTGTCACCACACCTCTAAGCCTCTGCCCCCTCACGATCATAGCTACTTTCCTGAACACTCTGCCTCAAACACCATTCTCACCATCATGGCTTACTTACAGGGAGGTAGGATACAGGAAAGTCAAACTTATAGTCTTCAGCTTGGAGTTTATAAACCAACTTCATCATTGGGCCACTGAACATTAAAAAAAAAAAAAAAAAAAAAAATCAAACAAAAACAGGATAAATCAACTACAAACTACCTTGTTCTGATTCCCTCACCCCGCTGTACTGGGGATTGAACCCACCAGGGCTTCATGCAGGCTAGGCAAGTGTTCTACCACTCAGCTACATCCTCAGCCTTTCTAATTTTATTTTTAAGACAGGGTCTCATAAGTTACACAGGCTGGTCTTGAACTTGTGCTCCTCTTTCCTCAACCTTCTGATTATTACCATACATGGCTGATTGATTATTTCTTATATTTAAGAAAAAGGGCTGGGGATATAGCTTAGTTGGTAGAGTGCTTGCCTTGCATGCACAAAGCCCTGGGTTCAATCCCCAGCACCACCAAAAAAAAAAAAAAAAAAAGAGTTATTTGAAAATGGGGTCATTATGAGGAAGCACCCCATCCTTCTCCAGCTGCAAACCAACCTACCCAGGGTCTAGAAATTCCATTGCAATGTTGTATTCCACAGGGTTCATACGCCCTTGTAGGCAGCGGAGGTTCCAGCCAATGAGAATGCCATCCAGGCTACCAAAGATGCTCTCTACTAGCCATGGGAAGATGGTGTGCAGCTCCTGAAACAGTGTACAGTAAGCCTTTAAGCAAGCTGGCAGAGGACCAGTGCCCACTCCCATCCCAGCTTTATGTTGCACCACAACTGCCCACCTCCCTCTAAGGAGGTCACTCCTTGGTAAAGATTCATAAGGCTAGCCCTGCATCCATAAAAACCCTTGTGCTACAGTGAAGAGCAGCTTTGGTTTCTTCTACTGGGGTTACTTACATGCCAAAACAAGCGTCACTACATTATATTTGGGGCAGATAAATAAGTGAACCTGTGATTAAAAACTTTTTAATTAAATATCAGAAATTCTGATCTTAAGAGACATTAAAAAGGAGAATAACATTCTTTCACAATCAGGCCCCTGAAATTTAACCATGATCTATTGTCATCTGATATTAATTTTTTGTCCAGGTCAGCTTCTTGGGCTTGACTCTTCAAGGTGTGAATTAAGACATATTTCTAAGGATTTATCTCTCAACTTTGGCACTATTGACATTTTGAGCTGGATACCTGCTTGTTGCAGGGGACTGTCCTGTGCACTATAGGATAGCTATAGCACTCTATACCTCTATATACGAGAGATATGTAAAAATTATATGATATGTTGCAAACACAGAGGCTAGCAGAGCTGTACCTTTGCTGGAAAATCCTCAATGACTTTCACCAGGTCTTGGCACCTCTGTGCAAAAGGTTTATTTATAGAATCAGCTTTTAGGCTAGCCTAGAAAATAAAGAGGAAAAAAATAAATAAAATAAAAACATGAAGTATTCACTGCACAGTTTTTGCAAATATTCTGGCTCAAATCAAAACAAAAATCCAAACCAGAGATGGAGTTGTGTTTCAGTGGTAGAGCACTTGCCTAGCACGTGTGAAGCTCTGGGTTCGATTCTCAGCACCGCATATAATGAATGAAATAAATAAAGGTCCATCAAGTTCTAAAATATATTACCCCCCTCCGCCCAAAAAAAATCCAAACCAAGTATAGTCACACACTTGTAATCTCAGCTACTTGGAGGTGACTGAAGCTGGAGGATCACAAGTCAGTCCAAGGTCAGGATGGACAACTTAGCAAGACCCTATTTCAAAATAAAATCTTAAAAAAGGGTTGGGGGTGTAATTCAGTGGTAGAATACTAGCCTAGAATGTGTGAGGCCCTGGATTGGACCCCCTGTACTGCCCTGCCACCACATGAAAATGAATAAACACATAACAGAAATCTAAGCAATAGTATGAGTTATACAACCACTGGCCTGGTCCCTGGCACCTCATGCGCATGGTCCTGTGTGTATCAGTGGCTCAAATAATGCTATTGGAAGAGAGAAGTTTTAATTCTATACTCCTCTAGATCAGTAATTTTCAGGCTTGCTTCCCAACATCCTCCTTTAGGCATCTTGTTACCTCAAGAGTGCAGAGTCAAAATGAAACTGACTTCCACTCACCCACAAGCAGAGGTTCCTACCAGTGTCAGCCCACACAGCCAGGAGAGGATTTGTGTTATGTAGGGTACCTCTCACAGTTCTCAAGTACTCACTGAGTTTGTACACATGAATTGGAAAATTCTCACCTCATTAACCACTCATGATTATAGCACTGAGATCATCAGTGAGAATGCCCAATAAAATAACGAGGGTTGCAGCAGAAGCCTTGGCCTTGCTAAACTGTTGAGGCTGACCTTGAACCTGCAAACCTAACCTCCTGCCTCAGTCCACAGGGCTGCTGGGATTACAGGTATATGCCATCAAGCCCAGCTAACCCTCCACTCCCATCCACCAGTATTAGGGATTAAACCAAGGGTGCTTTGCTACCAAGCTATAGTCCCAGCCCTATTTTTTGAGACAGAAGTCTTACTAAGTTACTCTGATCTTGCAATCCTCCTGCTTTAACCTCCTGAGTAGCAGGGATTATAGTTATCTACTAGTACACTTGGCTTTTGTTTTTTTCTCTTTGTTTCCTGGCAATATGGGGATTAAACCCAGGTGCACTCTACCTTGGAGCGACATCCCCAGCCCTTTTTTTATTTTGAGATAGTCTTACTGAGTTGGTACAGTTGGCCTTTAACTTGTGAGCTTTTCCCTAAGACTTTCAAGACACTGGTATTACAGATATATACCTCCATGCTCAGTTTCTCTCTTAATATTAAGGAATCTACTGGACTCATTACCTTAAAAAATATGGCAGCCTGAAACTGTAGTCAACACTAACCACGAAAGAAATGAAGAGATCAGCAAAAATTCAGGATAAGAACCAAGGAAATCTATCCAAGGTCATGGGATATGGGCAAAGAACCCTAACTATAAAAATAGACCTCTATGCAAATATGTTCATATCAGGAAGAGATGCCAGAATTTTAACAAGAGGGCTTTATACCCAAGGATGTCTAAAGCCAAATTAGGGTGGATTTCACTGGACTGGACTCACTCATGAAGACCTGGGCTGTTCAGGCCATGTATCAGGCCTACTGGCTTTAGTAGGGTGCACCAAGGAAGAATGTCCTTTCAAATAGATGTTTACAAAAAGAATTCTCTGGGAACTGAAATTAGAAATCTTCGTCTCTGATATCTGCTTTATAACTAACTTCTCTAGAATCGTGTTTAACACTTAAATGTAGTCCTAACTACCCCCAATATAACAGGGTCTCCCCATTTCTCATTGACAACATTTATGATTTCTGATGTACATTCTCACTACTCCTCCTCATGCTTTGGGAAGTAGGGGAAAATGGCATCTAAATTTGAATGGTAGCATTGTGTAGATAAGAAAGAGTTCAGAGATTGCATAAACTCAAAGTCCTATACCAATAAGGAGGAAAAGTCAAGCTTAAGCATTCTAACCCCTAAGTATGGTGTTATTTCCATCATACATCCCTTAAAAACAACCACTAAAGTTCTTCAGATCGGTGGAAAGAACTCCCAAGTCTCTATGCTATAGAACTATCATTACTTTAATGCTCCCAAATGTACCTGATACTTACTAGTAAGAAGCTGGGCTGCTGCAGGTGAGGGAATGCCATGGTAGCCTCCTGTGGAGAGTCAAAAATGATTGCCTTAGGAAACCACTGTGGAAGAACAAAGATGAAATCTCAGTATCTGCCATACAATAGAATGTTATGCAGTTTTAAGATGCCCAGGAGAACATCTGTGTAACTGAACACATGCTGCCCTGTCAATTTCCATTTTTTATAGAAATGCCATTCTCATACAGTTTATGATGGCCAGCTTCAGAGCCACACTTGTAGTAGTGAATCCTTACTAGATGCCAGAACTGGCACTTATACTAGATGCCAGAACTGGTTCTCAGGGCTTTCCATATATTTCGTCATCTAATCCTACCTTAAAGGCAGTCCTTCAAAAGTCCTATATTTTGGTTATTCAATCACTTATCTAAGTACTGCTGTGAAGGAATTTTGCAGATGCAATTAAAAGTCCCAATTCAGTGGATTTTAAGATAAAAGAGCAGTCCAAAACTAATAAGTCTATTCTACAACTCCAAAGAATTGCATTCTGCCAACAACTTAAATAAGCTTGGAGGCAGATTCTTCCCTAGAGCCTGCAGATAAAAGTAAAGACCCTAGCTGAGCCTGCCTGCTCTTCTTATGTAACTGTGGGATAACAAAATGGATGCTGTTTTATGCTGCTAAGTTTGTAAAACAAGAATAGTAAACACATCCTCACAACAACCCACGAGATCAGTACAGATGAGGAAACAGGCAGAAAGGTTCTAAGTCACTTGCCTCCACCTAGCTAGTAAATAGTAGAACTCTCATAGACAGATGGATAAAACACATCACTTGTGCTCTGTACAGTGAACAAATGTAAGAGAAGAGCAAACTCTGTCAAGGGAACATTTGAATGGGCCATCAAACAATTAGGGAGGTTAGGCGCAATGGTGTGTGCCTGTAATCCCAGCAGCTCAGGAAGCTGAGGCAGGAGGATCGCAAGTTCAAGGCCAGCTTCAGCAATTTAATGAGGCCCTAAGCAACTTAGCAAGACACTGTCTGAAAAATAAAAAGGGCTCTGGGATGTGGCTCAGTGGTTAAATGCCCCTGGGTTCAATCCCTGGTACCAAATGAATGAATGAATAAATAAATAAATAAATAAAAAATAAAAATTAGGAATGGGACTGTCTCTCCCTTCTTGGCCCAGAATGTGAGATAGCCCGCAATCTCCCTTGAATGTTTCTGCTTTCCTAAATAAATCTTTTTGTCTCTGGAAAAAAAAAAAAAAATTGGAATGGCTCTTTAGATTCATACTTTCTTCCCAGAAAACAGAAAACAGAGTTGGACTGAGCAAAGAGGAAGCTTGAAGAGTCCCACCAAATTGCTAGTGACAGCTTTCCTGGCATAGCTCTGCCCAGCACACAATTAAAGAAGCTGAAGTGACAACTGGAAGATTATATGGAAGGAGACTGGTTGGGCATAAGGAAGTTATGTAGGCAGTTGGGGTGTTGAGAGGATACTCAAATCTTTGCCACTTGGTAAGAGAAATACCCCCCAGGCTATTTCAATTCATACTAGTTATCAGTTTCAGTGGAAAACTGAAATCGCCTCAGTCCTGACCTACTTGGTTAAAGGGAACATTGCATTACTCCAAATTGATCGGGGCAACATAAAATTGTGAACTGTTTCATAATAGCAGAGATTTCGAGGTGAAGTGAAAGTGTATATTTGCTCAGAGGAAGCTTTCTTAGGCAACGACTGAAAAAATGTAGCCCAGAGTTATAAAATTCGGATCTTTCCAAGAGGGCAAAGATTCCTATACCCTCGTTACACCCCTCCGCGCGCAGTGCACCAAGAATTCGCCTCATCCCGCCCCTTCCACACCCACTTTCTTCAAGAGCTGCTAGGACTCTGGGGGTTTCGGGTGGCGGCAGTCCTCAGCCGGTGCCAATCAGATCTAGAGTATAGCGCCACTGATAAGACCTCACCTGTTCCTTACAACGTTCTATGGAGTAACGTATCAAGAGTCTCCTATTACAGAGGAGAAAACTGAGGCCCGGAGAAGTCGAACCATGCAAAGTAAAAAGGCTGGGCCAAGATCCACACCTGGCTCTTCCACACTGTTGAGCCCAAGGCTCAGTTTTTTAAAAACATTTTTTATTAGTTATTAACACACCTTTCTAATTTATTTAATTGCTTATATGTGGTGCTGAGAATCGAACCCAGTGCCTCACACATACTAGGCAAGCGGTCTACCACTGAGCCCCAGCCCCAGCTCACAAGGCTCAGTTTTCAACTTGAAGCTTTCCTTCCATCACTTCGTTCAACGAACGTTAACAGAGCACCTACCGGGATGGGGTGCGCAAGAAGGTGGAATAAAGGTATAGCCCAGGAGAGTGGCATAAAGGCCCAGACGGGAGCCTTGGCTCCCCTGTAGGCCTGGCCCAGGCTGAGTAGCCGGGGCCCGGTCCAAGTCCCGGGGCTCGCGAAAGAACGGAGACGGCCTCGGCGAGGGCTCGAGGACAACGACGACGACGGAGCATGGAGCTGTCTCGCGCGCTTTTCCCGTCACTCACCTGTGGGACCCCTATCACCACTTGCCTCAGGTATGGAAGCCGCCATTCGGCGACCCGGCGCCGAAATGTCGTCATCACAATGCGCAGGGCGTTACGCCTCCTGGCCGGGCGGGAAAAGTGCCCCTACCTTGAAAGGCGCGTGCGCAAAGCGAAGGCCGGCCAGGGTTTGAGATGTAAGGGAGGTGGTCCTGAAAGCGCGTGCGCAGTTGCAGCATCTGCGCCCCTAACGCCTGTTTAGCCATTGCCAAGAGTGCGCGTGCGCACAGAGGTCATTCATTAGTGTTCTCTAGGAGCGCCCCCTAGTGGAGGACCTACGCCAAAATACAATTACACGCGACATTGAAGCGCCCACTCTAAGCCAGGCATTGTGCTAGGTGTTGCTGTGTAAGTGAGCAAGATCAATGCAATCTATCAGGGAAGATCTGGTTGTAAGAAGCTAATCTCTGTGTTCCACTATGGCATCCACACGCCTAACACACTACATAGTACACAGTGGGCCCTCAATAAAAGTCTAGGGCTCGAATAACTCCGTGAGATGGCCCCGCATGCCAGCCCTCAGAGCTGGGGAAGTCTAGTTGGCTCTGCAAGGACGCTGCAGGGAAAAGGATGGTTGTCAGCAGCCGGTAGAGGGCGCTGTGGGAACTCCCGTCCGACTGCGACTTGGCGGAGCGGCGGCCTGGTGGGCAGGGTCAGGGCGCGCGCTGTCTTACCCGCAGCTTACATGGCGGCTGCCGGCGGAGGTCCCGGACTCGGGGCGACCCCGGTTCTGGAGGCTGCAACTCTGCAGAAACTCGCGCTGCGGCGGAAGAAGGTGCTGAGCGCCGAGGAGATGGAGCTGTATGAGCTGGCGCAGGCGGCTGGCGCCGCCATGGATCCCGACGTGTTCAAGTGAGCGGGCGCGGGTGGTGACTTCTTGCTCCTCCGACCCGCAAACACCCCGGTTCCTGGCCTCCGCCACGCCCTAGCCTGGACCCACTGGTGTAGAAGAGCCCGCAGCCCGTGTCGGGTCTCCAGGGCAGGCCTGTCTTGTGGCGGGAAGGGTTCACTGAGCATCACTTTTGTTCTCACCAGGATCCTGGTGGACCTGCTGAATCTGAACGTGGCCCCTCTCGCCGTCTTCCAGATGCTCAAGTCCATGTGTGCCGGGCAGAGGCTGGCAAGCGATCCCCAGGACCCTTTGGCTTTGTCTCTGCCCACGTCGGGCGTGTCGGAGACCCGAGGTCAGAGCTGGGCCCCATTCTCCCCTCCCCGGTGGCTGAGGTGTCAAGGTACAGTCCAGGCTTAGCCGTGAATGGCGATGCCTGCCAGTGAGTCTCCTGTTAGAACCTTTAGGGCCATCCACAGACTCAAGGCCCTGGCTCGATTGCCACCCTTGGAAGTGCACTTCCAGATCATGATTGCAGAGTGGGGGCCCTAGGGTGTTCCAAACAGGCTGGAATTCACCTGCCCCATCTTCTCGCCTCTTCACTCATGCCTTCATTCCACAAGCATGGGAATTAAGATGGCTTTGTTACCTGTCCTGGCATTAAAACCTTCAGGGAAGTGTACATAGACCAGGGCATGCTCCCCCTTGCCTGTACCTCACCCTGACCTGAGCTCTGCCCAGGGTCCTGGCCAGCCGGGCTTCCCTCCAAGGATTACTGGAGCACCTCTCTACTCAAGTTTCAAGGGCTTCCTCATTTTCTTGATCATGACTGGGAATGAGCAGATGCTGGTGATTAAGAGTATGTCACCATGGATCCACTGTCCTTGATCATCTTCCCTGTGTGTTGCTTCTGTCCCACAGAGGCTGCTGGGAACCCTCTGAAATTCAGCAGGATCTTCCAGGCAAATGAAAGGAGATCCAGGGCTGGCTTCCTGCCTAGAAGCACTTGGGATAGCCACACAGGCAGGGCCCTGAGGGGAGTAGTGCCAGGGCCCTGGGGATCCATATGCCTGAGCCAGGAGAGGCCCCAGGCACTGGCATTCAGGTTGCCTCACTTACCTACCCTCTGTCTGCTCTCTTTGTGTCTTTCTCTGACTTCCAGAGGCCTCCTTTCTCTCTGCCAGGAACAGTAGCCCCCCTGCAAGGTCCTCATTTTCCTCTGCCCTGCGGCCTACGGCCTCTCCGGTTCTGCTCCACGGCCCAGCTGCCACGCACTCGCCTCTCTCTCCAGGGCCCCCCGCTTCCCTCCGGTTCTCTTGCTGCTTGTTCTCTCCTTTTGCAGGTCGTGTTTATTGGCTTATCTCTGGGGGTTGGTGTGCTCTCTTGTTTCCTTGGAAACTGCCATGGCACATGTGAGGCCAGAGCAGCTTTGAACTGCAAGGGCAGAATGTGCAGGCCATTACTGCCTTGCAGCTTAGTGCCAGGCCACTCTCTCTAACTCAGTTTACTAAAGATACAGTACTTCTAGAACATGTAGTTAGGCTGGTCAGGGGGTGGGGCTAATACCTCTATGCCCCAGAGACTAACTCTGGTGGGTAAGACTTTTACACTGTAAAGGTCTCCACTCCAGGGGAGGACAGCAGGCTGAGAGGCAGGGAAGAGGCAACATGGCATAGTGTTGGGAGCACAACCTCAGGTATGAGAAGCATCTCAGCCTCTTAGATGCTGTCCCCTACCTGGATAGGTGGTCTAGAAGATAATACAGATGCTATGGCTTCTGCCAGCCCCCTTGGCAGTACCATATATATGAGTGATGTAAGCTTGTCCTATAAGTCATACTTGCAATCTGAGTCCCCTTTCCTCTCTCATCCTGGACAGGGGTATCTTCTGGGTATTGCCAGATGCCCAGAGCATGGTGTGTGAGGCCTCAGGGTGCTTTGATTGCACCCTCCTGCAAACCCTCCCTCTGTGTTCTCCAGATTCCAGATACTGCCTGGAGCTCAGGCCCAGGGAGGGTGGGGAAGGGCCAAGGGACTGGGAAGGAGAGACTGGGAACAGGGTCTCTTTCACTTGAAGGGACATTGCTGCTCACTCAATCAGTAACCCCAGGTATCAGGTCCAGTTCTTGCCAATGAAGGCCCAGAAGGTAGATAAGATGGACTTGCTTTGGGTCCAGTGAAAGAAGATAAACGTACAATGATGAAGATAGAAAGAGGTATGGTCCATTCAGTTATAAACCTGCAGCACTACCATAGCAGGTTGGGGCAGGAGGGGCCAGTTAGGCAGGGCCTCTGCAGCCCTGCCAGATGGTGTGGTGTGGAGAGGGCTGAACCAAGTGAGGCAGAGATGCAGGATAGTGGTATGTCATGTGTTGTGTCCTGGCCACTGGTAGGAGCATGGCCTAACCTGGGGCAGAAGGAAAAGGGAGAAAAAGCACAGAGAGTCAAAAGATGTGGGGGTGAAGCACAGGGAGCAGAAGCACTGTGTGAATGCATGAGGGCTCAGCTGGGTGCAGAGGTGCATGCCTCTGATCCCAGAGATTCAGGAGGCTGAGGCAGAAGGATTACAAATTTAAGGCCAGCCTCAGCAACTTAGTGAGACCCTGTTTCAAAATAAAAAGGGCTGGGGATGTAGTAAAGCTCTCCTGGGTTTAATAACCCACCAAAGAGGAAGAATGGGTCTTCCAGGGAAGTGGGGAGAAGCCTCAGCACAAGAACAGGAGTGGCCTGAAGTGCTGGGCCCTACAGGGTTGTTGGCTTTCAAAGACTCAATCCTGGAAGCTTAACTAGACCCCAGTCCTGGGAGGACATGGAGGACCTGAGAAGATGCCTGGGGGACAGAGGAGAGACTGGGGTGGCTGGTTGGTGGGGAGGATATACAGAGGAGTGAGGCAGAGGTAGGGCTATGCCAGGAGTATGCTGCAGCCAAGGGGCCACCAGATGAGATAGAGATCTCTAAGGCCTATATGTCATAGCATCCACCCACACAAACATTCCAGCTACCTTATAAATGACAAAATATATAGTGGAATAAATATGAATGCTCAAAGTGATCCATTTGGGATGACAGAGTTTGGAACCATTGAGGTTAACTTGCCCTAGGTTTCCCACAGAACTCAGTGTGGAGGTGCTCTAGGCCACATGGGCCAGAGCCCGACTCAGGAGTTTGAGTCTGTAAATCACAGCAAGTACGATGGTGCTGTCTGGATTCCTAGCCATCCAGGAAGCCTGCAGGGACTCATCCATGCCCAGCAGAGAAGGGGGAAACATAAGACCTCAGAAACACAGATGGGGAATGCTGGTCACAGTGAGGGCCTGTAGTCATTGAGGGGAAATTAAATTCAGTTGAGTGTTCTCTAATTGGGTTTAGGGAAACTATACATTTTGAAAATATGTCCCTCCAGAACATGTAGAGTGAGGTTCGGTATGTGGAAGATGGGTCATGTGATCTGTGCTGTCAGTAAGGGAGCCATGAGCCATGTATGGCTGTTGCAGTCAAGACACACTGGATGTCAAAGAACTGGTACAAAAATGAATGCAACAGCTCATGGCTATATACTGATTACATGTTGAAATGATAATACAGTTGTCCCTTGGTATCTGTGGGTATTGGTTCTAGCACACCCCCATAAGTACCAAAATCTTGAGTCCCTTATATAAAATGGCAGAGTGTTTGCATATAACCTATGTCATCCTCCCTTATCCTTTTTTTAAAATATTTTTTTAGTTGTCAATGGATCTTTATTTATTTATATATGGTGCTAAGAATCGAACCCTGTGCTTCACACATGCCAGGCAAACGCTCTACCACTGAACTACAACCATAGCCCCCCCACTTATTCTTTTTTAATATACATAAAAATTATCTAACACTTCTTCAAAGGAATGGTGTTTGTGTGTGTCTGTTGGATGATGCTGGGGATCGAACCCAGGGCCTCATGTATGCTAAGCAAGCACTCTACCACTGAACTATATCCTGAGCCTCTATTTATTTTTTTAGAAATGGGGCCTTGCTATGTTGCCTAGGCTGGCTCTGAACTCCTGAGCTCAAGCATTCCTCCTGTGTCAGTCCTTGGAGGATCTGAGACTACAGATGTATGCCACCATACCCAGCTCTCTTGTTTACTTAAAATCAGCTTGAGAATACTTAATCCAATATAAATATTATATAAGTAGTTGCTATATTGTTTAAGGATGCAATTTTTTTTCCAATTTTATTTTTATTATTTTGTGGTGGTAGGGATTGAACCTAGGATCTATACCACTGAGTTGCATCCTCAGCACCCCGCCTTTTTTTTGTCAGTGCTGGATATCCAACCCAGGGCCTTATACATGCTAGACAAGTATTCTACCACTGAGCAACACCCTCAGCCCCTTAGCCCTATTTAAATTTTTTAAATTTTGAGACAGAGTCTGGTTAAGTTGTCTATGCTAGCCTCAAACTTATGATCCTCTTGCCTCAGGCTACTGAGGCAAGTATGCATCAACAAGTGTGCTTGAATTACAAGTGGGCACCAACACACTGGCTATTTTAAGTATTTTCAATCCAAAATTGGTTGTATCCATGGATGTGGAAACCACAGATAGAGGGCTGACTGTATATTGCATATTTTGGGTTAATTAAAATACATAATTTATTTGGTTATGGTGGCACACACCTATAATTTCATTGACTTGGAAGGCTGAGGAAGGAGGATCTCAAGTTCAAGACTAGCCTAGGCAATTTAGCAAGACTCTGTCTCAATACAAAAAAGCTGAGGATGTAGTTTAGTGGTACAGCACTCCTGGGTTCAATCCCCAGTACTGTAAATAACTGACTGAATGTAACTTCCCACTTTCTCTTTATTTTTTATCTTATTTTTTTTAATATTTATTTTTTAGTTGTAGTTGGACACAATACCTTTATTTTATTTATTTATTTATTTTTATGTGGTGCTAAGGATCGAACCCAAGGACCTGCACATGGTAGGCGAGTGCTCTAACGCTGAGCCACAACCCCAGCCTTTCATTTTAATGTGGCTATTTAAATTATATATATGTGGCTCAAATCATATTACTGTTGGACAGCATTGCTTCAGCACTTAGATGGTAACACTTTTTTCCAGCAACACCAAGGAAAGGTGTGTGGGTGTGGGTGTTTGTGCATGCGTGCACAAGCCCAGGGGTAGGGGCACTGGATACATCCACATGAAAGAACGCCTTCCCAAGTATAGACTGAGTTAAGAGTACACATGGGTACATCTGTCCTATATGTATGTCTTTGTCACTAGGTCTGTATGTGTTCTGGAAGCATCAGGTAGGCCTCTACTGTGGCCAGAGAGCAACAGTAGTAGCTGGTGACAGCACAGACCTGTGATTTTTTTGCCTTAAGGAAGATTGTGCCCTTTGCCTGGGGAACCAAATTGGCCTCTACCAGGACACAAGTTTGTGTGCTCAATAAGATTTTGGGGTGGCTTGCTATTTTGCCACTGACCAGTGTGATATAGACTTATTGATGCTACTTGCCCTCACCACAGCATGCTCCTGAAGAGGATCCTGTAGTGTTTTCTTACCCTCTCTTCAGTTCTTACCTCTCCTTGCCCACTCCAGTTTTTACCTTCCTTAACACCAATGCCTGCTGACCCATGTCACCATAAGGTGGCATTCCCACTCAGAAAGGAGACAAGCCTCCCTAGACCAACAGAGAAAAGCAGGACATACTAGGTTTCTATTTATTATTTATTTATTCATGAGATGGGCTCTCAGTATGTTGCCAAGATGTCTCAAACTTGTGGGCTCCTGACTTAGCCTCCCAAGTAGCTAGACAGGCACACATAACCATGCTTGGCTACACCAAGGATCTTTATAAATCCTCATTCTCTACCTGCTTTGCCTAGTCAGCCAGTCAAGTTTATAGGGGTTGGCAAGTTGGGGCTCACAAAGGCTATTCAAAAGATAAATGGCAGAGTGGATCCCACTCCAACTTGGTCCACTCCCTAGCTTCTGGATTTCACCAAACCATGACAGGGTAGCTGACAGACTGATACATTTTGGGGGTTGCTTCTATAGGAGATCATAAAATTCTGAGAGATCACCAGCTGGTTTTAGGGGTAGGAGTGGCACGAAAGTTTGAAGAGAACTAGGCAGGATATTTTAAACATTCAGTGGTTCTTGTTTATCTTTGGTTCATTAAAAGTGACCAGGCCTGGGAGCATAAGTTGCCACCACCCTCCCACTCCACCAATCCTTAATAATCCCACTGTTCTTGATAAAACTAGTTCTGCACTGTAAAGGCTTCTCCATCATGTCACTACAGACCATTCCCCTTTGGCCTAAAACCCTTGGCCTCCTTGTCCATGCATAAAATGAGGAGGCCTGGATCAGTGTCCCTACTAATAGTGAAAGTATGTGATTCCTGAAGGGTTCTAAGAATCACAGCTGGACAAATGGGTTGGCATTCATATATATGTGAATATATATTAAAAATGTACATGTATTGTACACAACACATATATAATACATAGATTATAAAAATCCATTTAATTATCTCACATATATATAATTATATAAATTTCTTGTGTGTGTGGTTCTGAGGACTAAACCTAGGGCTTCGTACATGCTGGGCAAGCACTTTATCATTGAGCTATACCCCCAAGTCTTAGACTGTTTCTTAATGTCTTCTATGATTTAGATTTATACCTGTTCACTCTTTCATATTACACTGGGCTTATTGATCCTGTCAGATTTAAAGATGGGCATGATTTGTCCCTTTCCATTTCCTTGTCATCCTTCATCTTCTAGGTGGACCTGGTCATTATCCTGACAAGGAGGAAACTCAGAGCAAGAGGAAAAGCTGGCTTCAGAGTCAGGCCCATGTCTGAGACCTGCCCTGCCAGTTGCTGGGAGCGAGCTTGATTGACCCACCCTGAGCTGTATTTCTGCTTCTGTCAGGAAACATCCCTTGCAGCCAGCATGTGGATACCTGAGCACCCAGAATTAGGCTAACTGATACAGAAAGTTTCATATGCCTGGTTTAGCGTGCAGAGGGACTGTGGCCCCTTATGACCATTTGCATATTGTAGGAGATGCTGAGAGTGATAAGGCCCATCCAACCAATGGTGACAAGATCTGTGCTCACTGACCAGTCAATGAAGGCAAGAATGATGACCGCTTGTACCAAAGGAAATTCCTGCTGACCATTCTCTACTTTGTATCATTTTCGTGAGCCAGTGGTAGGCTGAGTGGGCCCAACTTCACCCTATCACATGCTCCAATCTGTTCTACACCTCAATTGTGGGTACCCTGTTACTACATTTTTATTGAATCAACTTTATGTAATCACTTGAGTGATCAACTGTATGTAATCACCTCCAGGGAGGTGAGACAGGGGGAAAATCAAAGGAAGACAAGGACAAGATATCAGCATTAAAAGTGTGGCACCACAGTTATCCTTCCCACCTAACCAGACAGCAAAGATCCCCTAGTTCTCCAAGGAAGAACTTTCTGGAAATTCTCATAAGGAGGGCCATCCTATTGTACAAGAATCCGGGGAGGCTCTCATCACAATTGAAGAATTCAAGTGACATTCCTAGGTGATTACCCTCCTCCCATGGAGGTCTTTCAGGAATGCAAAATTCCTTCATCAACCAGAGAATGAATACAAAGCAAAGCAATATTCAAAAAATTCTGAAAACTTTTCAATATTGATGAAAACATTGATCATGAATTTGACTACTGTTGAATTCAATTTGTTAGTAGACTTTAAAGGAATTCCCCACCTATATCAATGAAGGATATTATGCTACAAATTAAAAAAAAAAAGAAAGAAAGAAAAAGAATCTGGGGAGAGTTTCATGGTGAGGATTCTAGAGCATAAAAAGTGAGTTGCAGGAGCCAGTGTCTCTACTATCTCAGACATGGGTTTCCACCTCATGGATTCTAAGACACCTTGTAGCATCTTTGCTCCAAAAACAGTTTTCTTTTGCAGGCTATTTGGCTAAACTTGATGAATAGGCCATGGAAAAACCATGATCAAAGGCCTGAGCCCAAAGCTGGAACTGCCCCCAAAAGTAGCAATAGGGGAACTCCTATAACCACCCTGGCTTGAGGCCAGTTGGAATGTCAAAGAAAGAAGCACTAAACATCAGGGTGATCAATCCAAAGTATTTATTAGAGGGATTTATAGAGGGGCTGTAGCATGTTCCTGGAGAAATACAGTGATAGGAGAGGTCACTTTGGCATGTCCCCAACCCCAGGGGATCAGCATATACAGTTTATATTAGGTTCAAGGAAACTGGCTACAGGAGAGGGCTTGTTTCTGTGAGTTTGGTAACACTTTCATCTTTTAGTATTTCAGGCAACCTAAACAATGTTGATCAGTATCTGGGAATCTTCAAAGCTTAGATTCGGTACTTTCAGGGGAAAACAAAGCAGGGGTCTCAAAGTAGCCAGGGTATCCTGTCTCTAATCAGGACAAGGAAAAAATCTGGAGGTGGAGAGATAGGGGTGGAACCCTATATCATGGCTCAAGCAGGAGACATATATCCTGGTCAAAACCTGCAGAGCATACCTTGCTAGGCCAGGGAAGAGATAGATTCTACATGTGTAAGGGACTGTGACCCCATGAGCAAGCCTGCTCCCAGTCATGTCTTGTCCCCACAGGATCTTCTCAGTCTTGCTCATACTGTCAATATCTTGAGCCCAGGAGAAGCCATCCCTTTAAAATAAAACTCTGGTCCAAGTGTGGCTACAGATCTTTCATTCTTTCTGTGCACAAAAGAATATGCAAAGCAAGGACTATGTGAACCAGTGGGATTCATCACAGGTTAACTATCTAGCAGTTGGACAATTTCAAGTTTTCAAACCTCAGCAGGAATCCAACTATGGAACAGATAGCTAACCCTGAAAACAAGAGGCTTGACCACTGCATTTAAAGAATAGTCCATAGAGGTAGGGAAAAAACAATATGAGAAATAATATTCAAAATCTGAAATCTGCTTTCAATTCTAGTGAATGTACTTCCTGTCAGAATCTGATCAAGGCAGTTACATATGGTACAGTATGAATATACATTGGGAAGGAGGTGGCAGCCTGTTCCTCCTGTTACCTGCTGAGGGGCAGATCATGTACACTGTCCAGGGCAGACCAGGTAGGGGTATCCTTTCCCTGAATGCACCTCTGCTTTCAAAACATTCCTGCTTTATCCCTGGGATGACATCTAGAAGGCCCCCTGCACACTGTCAAGGGCTTCTCTGGGATGTGCTAATTTAGGCAGATGTGAGCCACAGGACTCCAGACTGATGTGGGGCACCCAGACCGTAACATTAACGTGAATGTTACTCAAGGAACACAAATATAATTAATTGAGCTTTGACAATGGCGTTTACCCTGGTTCCTAATGTTGTGTTATTTTCTTAGGAAGAAACAAAGGCGGCCCTACTCTTAGTGGAGCACCTACACTGGCAGAACGTGGAAGCCGGGAAGGATCCAGCCAAAGGATGCCCCGCCAACCCAGTGCCACAAGGCTGCCCAAGGGAGGCGGGCCTGGGAAGAGCACCTCTAGGAGCAGCACATAGGAAGAGAACAGACTGCATTGCCAGCGTGCTAGAACCATTGTTCTCCCAGCAAAGGCTGTGTGCCATCTCCTTCCACTAAGTCTCTCTAAAAAGCTGAGAATCAAAATCATTGTTCTCCCCACAAGAAAACATCAGAAATAAGTTTAAAATTATGTAAACATTTATACCTCACACACAATTTATTTTAGTAGGTATCTTTTTGATTTTAAAGGCATCTTTTATTCTACTTTATTAGGGCTATTTTATTTTTAAAATTATAGGATAGATAGTATATGACATGGTCTCCCAAAACTTCTTTACAACTCGGTCCTTATAATACATTATAAACTAAATCTGTCCCTTTTTAGGTCTTACAGCTACAGTAGCACATGCCACCACACAAAAAATTTTTATTGAAATGAGCCACTAGACTAAAAGTTCTGTTCAAACACCAAAATTGTCCTATATTTTCTCCATGTATCAGCCCTCTGGGTCAACAAAACACCTATAAACATTGATTTCATTTAAATTGATTTGAATATATGTGGTGAGCCGTGTTTGTAGACCGTTGCCGCCATTAGAAGATGGCGCCGGTCTCCGTTGTGGATCTTGGTAAACAACTCCTTATTAGGGAAGGTTGGCACGCTGTCCCTCAACACCCTATGAGAAAACCCCGCATGGCAGCTTTGGATTGGACTTGAGTAAGCTTTATTAGGCTATGCTTGGGCGCTCGGCGGGGGGTCACTAGAAGATGATACATGAAACAAGGCCTGAATAAACTGCTGAAAGAAGAATCCTGTGTCGTGTTTTCCCTTGCCGGCGAGGGGTCGCGACAAATATATAAATATTGCAATCTCATGATAACTTTTATGGACAAGAGAACTGTGGAAATAGTAATAATGCATGTGTAATTCTTGGATTTCATTTGTACCTATTTTGTCATCACACCCATTCTCCTTCATTCCAAAGTGCATGGCTCCAGCTTTCATTCTTATCCTCAGTCCATGTCATCCCACACAAGAAACTTTTTTTTCAATTTACATGTAAGAATTTTAACCATGAGGATCAGAGGGAAGTTTCAATAATAAAGTGTTAAGGAAAAAAAATCAAATGTTCTCTATCATTTTTTGAACATATGAAAGCCCATAGATTTAGAATGAGGTATGTGCTGGTCCCAGTTTTTCTATAGCGTAACTAACCAAGTAACTTAAACCAGTGACTTGACTTTCTTGGTCCCAGCTTTTAAGTCCAAGAGAAGATATATGTATTGCCAGGTCTTTATTATAAACAGCTCAACGTGTTTCCCTTGAAGTGCAAGAGGTGGAATTCCCTATTAGGACTGTTCACAATACTAGGTAAGAGGTGTGAGTGTATGAACATAGAAGGAGAGCACTGTCTCCAACTGGCCACACAACATTGAGGTTATAGTGATATGTTGTGACTTAATGAGTCATGCATGCTATGGGGAATTCAGTAATATCCCTTTCCCCTCAAATTGCCTTGATCTTTCTCATTTGACTCAGTTTTAGGGATTTTGTGGACATATCCTACCCTCAGACCTCAGATTTTAAGCCCTCCATTTCTAAACTCTTATGCTTTATTCAGTCTCATCAACAGAGAAGGCCCCAAATTAAAAATTTTTTTTAAAAAATGGGAAAAATCTAACTCAGTTTCCTTAGGAATTTATAAATTTTATGCTTTGAAACTGGATTTGTGTGTGTGTGTGTTTATTAAGGATTGATCTCAGGGGTGCCCAACGACTGATCCACATCCCCAGTCCTTTTTTTTTTTTAACATTTTATTTTTTAGGTATAGATGAACAAAACACAATGCCTTTATTTTTATGTGGTGCTGAGGATCGAACCTGGGTCCCACCCATGCTAAGTGAGCGCTCTACCACTGAGCCACAATCTCAGCCCCACATCCCCAGTCCTTTTATTTTTTATTTTGAGATAGTGTCTCTAAGTTGCATACGGCCTTGCTAAGTTACTGAGTTGAATTTGTGAATCCTGCCTCAGCCTCCCAAGCCGCTGGGATTACAGGCATGTATCACCACACCCGGTTGAAACTAGATTTGAAATACTTTCATCAAGTCAAATCATTTCAGCAGTGGTTCCTTAACATTACAGCAATATAATCCCCAAGTCCCTCTTTAATCAGTAGACTATGGAGTCTGGACTGGCCTTCTGTGTGGTTCTAAGATCCTATCCACTCCTATGGACAAAGTTATGCAGCACACAGAAATTTAGGGTTTATACTGAAACTTTAATTGTAAACAATGTGAAGGCTCCTATGCTGAGGGGTGGCAGAAGAGTTGACAAGGAATGCATGCCAGTTTCATCTTTCCACTCAATATTCTTCCCCTTCTTCAGCCTCTGCTTCCACAGAATCCACGCCCACCTCTTCATAATCCTTCTCCAGCGCTGCCAGGTCCTCTCGGGCCTCTGAGAATTCCCCTTCCTCCATGCCTTCTCCCACATACCAGTGCACAAAGGCCCGCTTGGCATACATGAGGTCGAACTTATGGTCCAGGCGGGCCCAGGCCTCCGCGATGGAAGTGGTGTTGCTCAGCATGCACACAGCCCGCTGCACCTTGGCCAGGTCTCCTCCAGGCACCACTGTGGGGGGCTGGTAGTTAATGCCCACCTGCCAGGGAAGAAAGCATTCCATGAAACTTATATCAAACCCAGAAATGGTGGCTACTTTTCCTCATATAAAGATACACTGCAGGAGCCCTCTGATGACCCTCTGAGAATGCTCAGTTGACCCTGCAAACAGGCACTGAGCCCTTCTTTGTATCACACATGGTGCTGGGTCAACAGGGTAATGGTTCCAGAAAAGGAAAAAGCAGGGAAAAATAAGCCTTGGAGTTAGTCATCCTTGGCTCAGTCTCAAGTGCCTGAAGGGCTGGGTCTAAGCAACTATGACAACTATGGTACTAAGGGAAAGGACTCCATCTTCTCTCTGAAAACACACTACCTTGTGTTCTTTGTGGATTTTCTCCATAACAAGATGGTGAATTTCTGTAACCAAAACATTTTCCACCCAGATAAATCCCGAGAACTGTATATAACTGAAAGCTCAGGGAATATCTCCCCCTTCTGACCCAGCAACCAAACCTTTGTGATATATACGAAGGTAGATCAAAGGTCATGTGAATACTACTACCACAGTGGCAGAAGGTGGCCTATCTGTGTCTTAAGTGGGGAGAGGGAGTGACATGCTCAAGGAGATACCAAAGGGGAAGCATTCCATGTTTCAGAATCAGGGAGTAACTTGACCAGAAGTTTTGGCAGAACTGTGTAGTAACAACTAGAGCAGGGATGAACCAAACTTATTCTGTAAAAAGTGATAAAGTAAAAATTCCACATTTCACAATTCTTCGTCCAAACTGCTCAATTGTGCTGATATGCAAAACCATAAACAATTTGTAAGTGAACAAGTGTGACTAGTCAGACCAAACCTTATTTATAAAATTTGGCAGCCAGTTTAACAACTGTGTAAACCCCTGATCTAGAGAAGAAAACCCAGAGCAAAAAATACTAGATAAGGACCTACTGTATGGGCTGTGGTTGTGACTTAGTGGTAGAGTGCGTGCCTAGCATGCGTGAGGCACTGGGTTCAATCCTCAGCACCACATAAAAATGAACAAATAAAATAAAGGCATTCTGTCCATCTACAACTACAAAAAATAAAATAAAATAAAGAATCTAAAGGGATTGTGACTCAGTGGTAGAGCACGTGCCTGGCATGTGTGAGGCACTGGGTTCGATTCTCAGCACTGCATATAAATAAACAAAATAAAGGTCCATTGACAATTAAAAATATTTTAAAAATAACCTACTGCAGTATAGCCACCAGAAGCAATAAGGGGCTAGCTAACCCAGGGAACATAGCATGAAAACCAAAGACAAGAGCTCAATGGTAAAGTGCTCTCCTAGTATACACAACTTGCTGGGCTTGATGCCTGAGGAGGGAAGAAAAGAAGGAAGAAAGAAAAAGAAAGCCAAACAAAATCTAGCCAAGCCAAGCCAAGCCCAAGGACAACTAGTTTTAACAATCAACAGGATTTAGGAAACTACTATTAGAAAAACTGAGTAGATAGATAGCAGTTTCTATCTTGTACCAGTGGAGAGGTGACTCAAGTTTTGTGTTTTATAAAACTCACACCAGAATTTCTAAGCTAAAAGAAAAAATATATATTGCCATTTTCAGCACAAAAAGATTCATGGAGGTTTTTCCTTAAATTGGATAATCCATAGGATATTGAAACTGAAATTAGTTTCTACATACCTATACAATAAAGTGAGATTAACTGACAATAGTCTGTTTTAGTAACACCCAAATTCAAAATAGTTAAAAAGACACACATTAATCACCAATGTACCCACACTAATCCTACCATCAGAATGGGGCACAAAAGTTCTTCAGAAAATACTATATTCTGTTAAAAAAATATAAATATAAGTGCACCAGGTGTGGTAATTCCAGTAACATGGGAATTGAGTGGGAGGATCCCAAATTCAAGGCCAGCCTCAGCAACATAGCCAGACCATTTCAAAATAAAAAATATGGGACTGAGGACATAGAGCTCAGTTGGTACATTGCTTGCCTAGCATGCATAAGACCCTGAGTTCAATCCCTAGCACCACCAAAAAGATAATAATAAGTAATAGGCTGGGGATGTGGCTCAAGCGGTAGTGCGCTCGCCTGGAATGCATGCAGCCCCGGTTCGATCCTCAGCACCACATACAAACAAAGATGTTGTGTCCGCCGAAATCTAAAGAAAATAAATATTAAAAAAATTTTTTTAAAAAAAGATAATAATAAGTAAATAAATAAATAAAGTTGAGGGGCTGGAGATGTGGCTCAAGTGGTAGCGTGCTCGCCTAGCATGCATGAGGCACTGGGTTCAATTCTCAGCACCATATAAAAATAAAATAAAGATATTCTTTAAAAATAAATAAATAGATAAATAAATAAACTTGAAAAGTGGGAAAAACACTCATGGGTTTAACAAAAATTTTTAAAACTGCTCACTACAAATACATAGTGTGATTCAGAAAGGAAATTCAAGAGATATCAATGAATAAATTATTCTGATTCACTAATTTGCAACCAAGAGCCTAACCCAAGTAAAAAAGCACTGACTCCCAAAAGGATTTGTGTTCTCAGGAGCATCATGAAAATTCAGGCCTGCTGTTTGCTGACAAGCATGATGACTAGACAGCACCCAGTCCTACCTTAAACCCAGTGGGGCACCAATCCACAAACTGGATGGTGCGCTTGGTCTTGATGGTGGCGATGGCCGCATTGACATCTTTTGGGACCACGTCCCCCCTGTACAACATGCAGCAGGCCATGTACTTGCCATGGCGAGGGTCACACTTCACCATCTGGTTGGCCGGCTCAAAGCAGGCATTGGTGATCTCGGCCACTGAGAGCTGCTCGTGATAGGCTTTCTCTGCCGAGATGACTGGGGCATAGGTGGCCAGCGGGAAGTGGATGCGGGGGTATGGCACCAGGTTGGTCTGGAATTCTGTCAGATCCACGTTCAGGGCCCCATCGAACCGCAGGGAGGCCGTGATGGAGGACACGATCTGCCCAATGAGACGATTGAGGTTGGTGTACGTGGGCCACTCGATGTCCAGGTTGTGCCGACAGATGTCATAGATGGCTTCGTTGTCCACCATGAAGGCACAGTCGGAGTGCTCAAGGGTCGTGTGGGTGGTCAGGATGGAGTTGTAGGGCTCTACCACAGCTGTGGAAACCTGCGGAGCTGGGTAGATGGCAA